GTAAGCCATGCTTCATTGGCCGCGCTGAAACAAGATATATCGATTAATATAAGTAAGCCCTTCCTGCGACGTCGCCCCGTAAGTATATTGTCTCTCTCTCTCTCTCTCTCTCTCCTTCTCTCGCGCGCGGCAGTTTTGTTCTGCAGTATGTAGGTACACGGCGCAGCATCGCAGCCTGCGTAGGCGAGGTCAATGCACATTAGTCCGTATATAAAACACGACTCGCGCGATAGCGACTATTTGACCTGCGTACACTCGAGTTGACTGCACATTATTCCAAGCATTCGGTCGCACTCGAGGTGGAGCACAGCTAGATTAGACGCTAGGAATCATTACTCATCGCTCGGCGCTTGCATATTACAATAATATCGTTCGTGATACTTCCAAGAAAGATATTCTTTCTCTCGGTGGCGTAATTGATGCTCTTTTGCGAGCAACATCTTTACGTTCAAAGAAATAGTCGCTTCTCTCGGCCGCGACATCACGACAAAGAGCCCATTTATAGCTGCTACGTAGCATAGCAGGCAGCTCATATAGGAGAATAATATAAAAAGCCAATGACAATTATTCAATCTGCCAAATGCTCGTATTATCCGCGCCAAGCGTACGTATGGTATATAGATAAATTGCGAGTCGGAGTATAACGAGATTATACCGCTTGCTGCACACAGCTTAGGATGTGCAATTTGCTCGCTTAGGACGCGTCACGCCTATCGCGACTCTATAAATCTACATCTTCCGCTCGCGTATGTACATGCATGCGAGCTAATGCCCAGGGATATCGTATCATAATGCATTATCGATTCATTCAATTGGCCAGCGGTTCGGGGCCACTTATATCGAAATTACGATGTTCCAGCGATTGATTGTATATCACGCCGCTTCTCGGATTATATGCGTCGCGCGATTTCGTGCTATTCACTCGGCGACTGCATTAAACCAAAAAACAAAATTATACATTACGATATAAACAAAAGCGAGCAATTAAGTTTTTTGGCTGGCGTTCGCGTTTCGCACCTACGTAGTAAGGCCAAAAAACTTCAGAAGGACCGCCCGGCGTCGCTGTGGTAGGGCAAAAAAGTCCGTCGAGAGTCGTTAAAAACTAAAGCAACAAAAAAAAAAGAGAGAAGGAAGAGAGAAGTCAAAACGATCGAGTTTCTTCTCGGCGCACTTTTGTAAGGACCTGCACGATGGCTCTTTGTTGTAACTTTACGATTTCTACGGAAACGTAGTTTTACCAAAAAAAAAAAAAAAAAGTTATAAACCTACACTACCCGGGGTCTTGTACAGCACAAACGAAGTTTCGCGAGCATAATGCAGAAAAAAATGACGAATTTCAGGGGTTTACACGCATGGTTTTTTCCCCTCTTCGAAATAAGCATGTAAGCAGCTAAGCTTTTTTTGCCGTGGCGATGGAAAATTTTCCCGGCAGATGCGTCGAGTCAGTCATCTTTCTCGGTCTCAACGGCTGCGGATAAATTGATGACGACGTAATGTGACATAATAAAAACGAATTGGGCATGACTGTGCAGTGCACACACGCGGGCTCGTGACCATTTTCAATTACCTCCTCATAGATTTTATGCGCACAAAGTACGCATATTAAATATTTGTGCAGAGCGGAGAACCAATTAAAAAGTCAAAGAGAGAAACAAAAAGCAAAGAGGGGCTGTTTTACCCGCTCGCTGTTATATATAATAAGGTTTCTCTCGCTCGATAAAATCGCTCCTCTGTCTCTGGCTCACTGCTCTGTGTATGCTCTACTGGAATCTTTTCTTTGCTGCTGCTGCCGCCGTCGAGTGCAGTCCATAAGCTGCCACCAACGTCGATTTTGCCCGCGTGAATCTTGATAAAGAGTCATGCTAGAGGTTTGAAAGCCTCAGAGCTATTATTATAAATAAGCGTAATAATAATATTAACAGAGCGAGCCTCGAGATAAAGATATATATATAATACAGTTGCGCGGCAATTGCGGCCTTACGTGGAATTTATGTAATTTCTGGGAGGATTTTGCCCCAGCGAGCGGCATACGAAACCGATTAGCGCCGATTTTTCGTCCAAGGAGCTTCGCGAGACCAAAAGCTACTCTCGAGCGAAACTCGAACGGTAAATCACGACTAGACTCGGTGCTTGCGCGGAACAAGAGAGTCGGGCTTTATCAATCATAACGAATCACGCAGCTCAAAACAAACTGCATTGTACAAGCTAGCTTCGCTGGGTAGTTTGTAGTTTTCCTTTTCGGGCTCGCACACCGAAAACGTGACTCAATGCTGCAACTCTCTCTCTCTTTCTCTCTTACAGTGCCGGTATAAAAAGACGAAAGACAAACGTGCTTTTGCGCACACAGTGCGTATGCGTACACAAACGTGCATGTGTATGGAGCTTGAATTATTCGCTGCAGCCAGTGATTTCACAAAGAGTACAATATACGTGCACAAGCGAGTAAAGTCATTCTCGGGGACCATAAATATCATACACATACGCATGTATATCGTATATGAGTGAGCCGCTACATAGCACGTATAGCTCGAGACTGAGAGAGAGAGAGAAAAGAAATCTTGCGAGCGAGGCATTGTGAGTTCGTAAGAACTATTTGCGATTGGATATTACAGAGCGACGCATGTATACGCTCGATTATAATAGGAATACGCGCGGCTGATAATGAGTAAGTGGAAATGAGATAAGTAATAATAGGCGCGGGATGCGCGACATCTCTCGCTGCGCTGCGATCGGCCAGTCTGACGTGAGAATATTACGAAGCTGCTATAAAGGCATCGATTACGGAATGCTTGAATTATATATTGGTCAGGGCTAAAATCGACTCATTTAACTGGTTGAATAAAAGCTATATAAGCGAGTACGGCTGGGCATAGTCGGAGCGAATCTCGTAGCGCCCGGCCTTATGTCGTCGTAAATCACCTGGGCTGCGCGCGGCAACGGCGGCGCGGCACACAAAAATAAAAATCCAAAAAGGCGTTCACCTTTCTCGCGGCTAAAGTCTCTGCATGCGCCTCTCTTTCTTTCTCGAGGCTGTCCTTGAGCGCGAGCTAACCTTGACTCTCGGTGGCGCAAAAAACCATCTATGTTCGTCGTAGTCGTCGTCGTAAACGCTGCGCGAGTATTATAAACACGTACAAAGCCTAGAGCTGCGCAGCGCGGAGCGAAGAGTGCATAAAAGGGATCCTCGCTCAGCTCGAGTATTATAAAATTTGCTCGTAACTCACCATATCTTTGCGCACGAGCGACTCCGCGCTATGTACATTATGATCATGAATAAGGGATGACCGATCGGGTCTTTGCGCGCAGAAGAGCCGGCGGTTCGAGGGAAGGCGAAATGCTACGTGCGAGGGTGCAATGATACATTTCAATTTGACCAGATTCGTTACATATATTGGCGAGCAAGTGTAAGCGTGCTACGAGACAAGTGTAAATATCAACCCTTGGGCCGCGACGGCCTATACGTGCGTGCGCCAACGCATACACGAGCTAGACTAAAGTACCTACCACGTTGAGTTACGGCTTTAAGTATTATAATCCATGCATATGCACTCAGGGGAAAATAGCTTTGACAACGTGAACCAGTTTACAGAGAAGCCACATCGAGAATTTCCATATTTACTCTTAATTAAATAATCGTCATTTTTCAATTTTTCCTCTCTCTCTCTCTATCTCTCTTTCTTTTTTTTTCCACGGAAAATAAGCCGTTCTTTGTCCGAATTTCTCGGAAAAAGATTCGTTGAGAAAAGCTGGTGAGCGCGTAAAAATCGCCGTCTTTGCGCGCCCATTGTACTTTCTGAAATACTTGGGCAAACAACAGAAAACATCATCCCTCCTTGCTGCTGCTACGCAAGGGCGACGAGCAGACAAATGCGTTTGACGCGGGCGTATCGTGCAAAAACCTCATTTCCTCGTTTATAATACGCGAAAAAAACTCCGTGTCTCGCTCGGTCGAAGTCGAGGCCATAGCATAGACTCCTGCGCGCACAAGAATAATATACGAGTGTGTATCGATTTGGCAAACGAAGCGTTTAAATCACGAATCCGGCATATATACTCGCGCGGAGAGTGCGAAAAAAGACGTTTGATTTTTACGATATTATACGCATTGCGGAAGCGACGCAGCGGTGCTACTGCTGCACACGGGCATCGATCACCTCGTTCGACCTCCCCCGAAGGCGTTGTAAGCTCGCCTAATATGGCCCGAGGAGAGAGAACCACCCCCTAAGACATAATGCACAGTTAGACCCTCGTTCGTCCTCCGATAAATACGCGGACGATTGCTTGCGCAAACAATAATACGACGAGATGGTCGAAAAACTTGGCCAACGCACAGTGGCTGCCTAAGCATTGGGGAGAGTAGCCATGGCGGTGATGCGTGGGTGGGACTTTACTCAAACAGCTCACGACTCCGCAGAAGGGAGAAAGACACGTAGATATATGTATTCAAAAGACGAACTATATCGAGGGGATTAAGCTCGCGTACAAAGCTTATGAATAACTGGAGCTATTGCCTTTACAAGCATCGAGTTTACGCTCGTACTTTCATGCTTATTAAAATTCGAATTAATTAAACGGCTTATGCATCTGATCTGTGCTCGCAGCTATTTTTCTTCTTGTAAGGATAAATTTGCGCGGCATGAAAACCAGAAGCTCCAAACACGTGAAAGATAATGCAAAAACATCTTCTGCCGGGTGAAAGAGTATGAGATTTAAACTAAAATCTTCTGTGAGCTCGAGTCAATGTAGATATTACACGCGGTATAGCCGTCTTAGCTCGCAATTACACATCCACTAGATAAAGAAGATAATGTCAGCAAGCATAAATACACGAAAAGCTTCATATTGAGCTTCTATAAACAATGTATATTACTTACACTGAATACACCGTTTGCATTTAAAACGTCATTCAAGCGCGCTAATAATAGCTCAACAGTAGTTGACAATAATGTACGAGACTATAAATTTTCATAATTTTGTTGTTGTTTTGCCCACAGCCGAATCGGACATGAGTACGTTCGCCCAGCGCACCGAGCACTTCCACGCGTCCAACGAGCCCACGAGATGTCTATTCCTGAAGGAAACGAGGCCGAAGGCCCTCAGCCAGATTTACGATGCCGCAGCGGCCGCAGCTGTGCGCAGCCTCGACTCGCTGAGACGCGACGTGCCGGATTCCGCCATGGATCTGTTCGTCTGCACGCCGATACTCTCGAAGCGAGCTGCCAAGCGAAGAGATCAGAGCCTGGATATCGAGTCGAGAGTGGTGAGTTGAGAATCTTTACTGCTGCATACGTATCCGAATTCGCATACGATAACGTGTAGCGAATGTAGGCTATGCATACGTATATACAAGAAGGATACCGTAATCTATCTTTCAAAGTTGAAGATCGGCCGGAGCGGACACGTTCGCTCGTTATAACTTAAAACAGGTGTGCGCGCACATGCTGCGACCAATATGCCGATGCCTCCGACTTTTGGCAGCCTTATACGTGCCGCGTCTTTTTTCATCTTACTTTATTCGCATTTTTCTCGCACGAAAGCCCAAAAGAAAAACCTCGATGTCGTTTTGTTTTCTGATTTTTAAAAGTCGACGACGCTACAGGGATACAGCTTCGTATAGCGAGGCAAAAAGACCGCCACCAGGTGAGAGAAGGCACCGCATCAAAGGAATTCATATCATCTTTTTCTTTCTCTCTCGCGTTGGATTCTCGCTTCTCCTTCTCTCTCTTCGCACGCGATTTTTGCGCGAGCGCCACGCGCATTAGTGCCTTTTTTGTTGTTGCTGTGCTCGCTCAGGCCCGAGAGAAGCGTGGGAAAAGCTAAAGCGATTTTTCACCTATACTGCAGAAAGGGATTTATTTTTGAAGCGTAGAAATAATCACGTATCCGCTCGATTGCACTGGAGGATATGCGTTACTTCATGATCTCACGCGTGTCTGTATGGGTAGAGAGGGGCGGAAGAAAACTCCACGTGTATCGTGTACAAAATGAAAAAGAATCATAAGATCACGATGGCGAAGGTTAATAAATTTAAATTTGCATAGGTGATCCATAAAGTTAATTATGCGTTATGAACTATTCACTGATTCCTATGCTGCACTCGTACACACACACATTATAATCCCGTTGTCCGTTCGTTTGGCTGCATAACGAATGAATCGGTATTCGCAGGATTAATTACGCGGCTTGTAATGAGAAATGCTGCGGGCTCGAGTCGAGCCTTTTTTTCAAAATCAAATATTCAATAATTACAGGGCAACACATCTATTATAAATAAACGCGTGGGTTTAATTGCCATTGTAGATTTCTGCCATTGCAAACACGATCTCGCCTGTGCAGCAGTTAGAGCTGCAGCTATTTTTCACTCGCGCTTTGCTTAAAGGATCAAATTACACTTTTACAGATAGATCTCTAGTAAGCACTTGGTAATTTAGTCGTAACTTTGTTTAGATAAAAATCTTGTAAATGTCTATTCGGGAAGTGCAAATTTAACTATTGTTCACGAGTATGAAGTCATTCGAACATTTAAAAATCATGTAATGGTACAAAATGGGCAGTACTTGAATCGAATTTTGAAATAATTAGATCGGGAGAAAAAATGAGCATCACGGTCGGATGTGAGATTTTCCGAACATGTTGACAAACAAAAGTGAGTCAGAATCGGTATATCCGCGCTGGGGTTCACCGAGTGAGAAGCTGAGCTGGAGCACAGCAGCAGCAGCATCTTGTATAATACGGACTCTGGTCACGAGATGGGCGCGAGTATAATATATATAAGAAGAAACGAGAAAGAAGAAAGAAAGAGAGAAAGAAAGAGAGTAGGTATAAACGCGGGGAAAAATCTGGCAACGTTGGAATTCCACCCACCACAGGCTCTGTATACGTAGCGAGGGTCCCGTAAAAGTGCTCCGATCTTCGCTCGAGGGAGAGGGAGCGCACACACATATAGATACATTCAGCGCACACATTTACAAAACGTAATGTACGCGCACGAAAGTTGCTCGCGTGTGTGTGTGTAGTCGTGCGCGCAGAGGCCTGCAGACCCAGAGCGAAATTTCCGAGCGTACGACGGGTGGTCCTGTGTGAACTGTCCTGTTTGTAAAATCGGCGCTCGTCTCTCGAATTCGCACGGTGGCTTTGTTTCAATTATAAACACGAGTCACATGTACACGAGAGATAGATTAGCGAGCCTCGAGTCGGATTTCCAAAACGATTCGTCATAATGTACGCCGTACACGCGCCGATAGATTCGAGTGGAGTTTAGGAAATCCCCTCTACTGTAAGAGCTCGTGGTACACGGCATACTTTGGTCCTTATTATTCATTCTCGTGGTCTGTGTACTCGCCGATGCACGTGGATCCAGAAAGCGTAACACACATGCGCGTATATTAAGATAAAAACGGCTCGATTCAAAGTGGCAGCCGCCGCCACCGCTAGCAGCATCAGCAGCAGCAGCAGCCACTCAATGTGTGCAGCTCAACACACAATGATAAAAAGTATAAATATCGCGGCTACAGCGGCGCGTAAGACCAGAATGCAATCTCTCGGCTGGCGCGCGGAGCACTATAGCTCTGCATGATATACACACACACACATCCAAACGAGTTAATGCAGATTCCCGCGGTTATATCATGCCAAGCATCATCATCATCATCATCATTGCTGCTCGCTCGCGCCACTTTTCCTTCTCTGTTTCGCGCGCGCGCTCGCGGACCCCAATAATTTTCTCCTCTCTTAGCTCTGACCACGCTCACGGTTTCGCCGAGCGCAGAATACGTATATAGCATGTATATAAGAGATACGACTGCTGCTGCTGCTCCTACTGCCATGGGTAGATTCCTTCAAGCAAAACTGGTTCTTACGACGACGACCCTTGTATGTGTGTTTGTGTGCCTGTTCATAAACATACACAGACACACACACGTACGTACGTACGTACCTTCTCTGTCTCTCCTTCGTATTATATACTCCTTGGAGATATCCTTTACTCCTTTTTGTCCGTAAGCTGCACGAGAGAAAGAGCAAGAACGAACAGCGTTGTGTTCTTCTCTCTCTCTCTCTCTCTCTATATATATATATATTATACGTAGTACACGGGTAAAATTGCGCGAAGGGCAACGAGCGCCTGATGGCCTTCCATACCCCCCCGACTGACCGAACCATTACTATATAGTCCAGGCTGGTATGAGTGTGTTTGTGCCACACACGGTAATGATGCTTCTTTTTTCGTCCTTTTCGTCCAGCGTTGACCACGAGGAATTTTAAGTTCCATTTATATATTCACAGCATACGATGTATACGTCGCTTTATGTGTACACTGTATAGCACGCATCGCTTTGTATATTACGCGGCTACTGGCACCAGATCAAAAATCAATTTTCTTATATTTTTTCGCTAGAAAATAATTGAATCATACATTCGATTTCCCTTTTTTATCCAATTGCCTGTGTCGCATCTTCCGTTCCCTTCTGTATATACGAGGAAAGACCGAGACGAACGAGTAGAAAATTCCATATAAAGTCGTGCATTATATGTGCAGCTTCTCCTCTCGGTGTCTCTTTCCCTTGTGCACGGCACAACACCGAGAGAGAGAAAGAGAAAAGGGAAGGAAGGAAGAAGGCTAAGTGGCGGCTGGCGTCGATGTCATTGCTTCTTTCATCGCGAAACACATAAGAGAGAAAGAAAGACTGCCGATGCTGCTGCCACTTCTTTTTTGCTTGGCAAGATATTACTGCGACGGTGAAGCGAGATGATGATGATGATGCCGATGCCACTGCAACCTGCCATACGGCCTTGCATATGATCGTGCGCGCGCCTGTAATAATCCAGACTTCTCTCCGTGCGCTGTAATGTACGTGCACCGAGCCCGATCGTATAATGCGCGCGGCGCGCATAAAACGCAAATTGTGCCCACTGCATCTTAAAACATTCCCCGCGGCATGATCCTCGAGATACTTTTATTTCTTTCTTCGTTTCGTTTCGTTCCAAATTTTTCGTTCGCGCGAGCGCAAGAGGCACACGCGATAATTGCTTGAGAATTATGCTCGTGGATCACCTTGCGCTCCGAATTTTTCTGCCGAAATTTCAATCGTCGCGCGCGGTATTCGTGCGCTTTTTTCTCTCGTTTCTCGTTGCTCCACCATAAAACTCGACGCGAAAAGAGACGTATTATCGTGCGAGTAACTATATCACTTCCACGCGTCTTTCTACACTTTCACGCGCATCCTGTGTGTGCGCGTCTATGATGATATACATATAATACGTGCGTCAACACTACGTCTCTATTGCGCAAAGACCGCACATAACTGTGAACGAAGAGACAACGAAAAAGTAACGTTAAAAGAAGAGAGTAACTGAATCTTCTCGACTTCGTAGCCCGCGGTATAATAAGCTAAATTTTTCCGCCCCGATAACCGCAAGACTACCGCGCGCAGCTCTCGTGGTCTCGGAAAATATCGTATATTATGTGCGTTTCTATGTATTTTCTTCTCCTCCGCAACTTTCATCCTAGGTGTAAGTTATCAGAGAAAGTGCCATCTTCAACTTTGTTTTTTCCTCTTTTTATTTCTCGACCCCCCCAAAAAAAATGAATATATTCAACAATCGTCACTTTTTTTGTCGATACAGCCGCGGGCGATCGAAGATCTACGTCGGTGGACGTCGGCCGAGGCACTGGGAGACGTGACGGTCGCACCGGATTGCGCGTCACGCATACTGGCCGACAGCGTCGACGACAGCCAGCCGGTCGACCACAAATTGCCGAGTCCAGAGGAGCAAGTCCAGGCCGTCGCGCTCAAGTGAGTTTTTGCCTGACGACGGACGCAATTAATACCGCATCTATTTTCTATGAAATAAACAAAATGTTATACACGTATCGACATTTTTCTCGAAACAGATTCCCGGCCGAAGTCGTCGCGGTGGACGTGAGTGGACGTGGCTTCCGACGAATGTCCATGCACCGGAGGTCCCTGCACGCGGGTCTGCAGGAGCCGCAGCAGCAGGAGACCGTACGCAGACGCTCGAGAACGCGAAGGCCGCGGGGCAAACGGCGCAACACGATCGCCGGCACCGATCACAAGGAAATACGACAGGCTGTTGTTGGGTAAGTTTTGCTGCACGTCACAACCAGAGATGATACCGCACGCGTCTTATCCGTGCGTCGACTCTGAATTTGCATTCAATAGATAGTGTAATAATATCGTGGCCTATATACATAGCCTACAGTACGATCCATTGTTCCGTGCGCTAATTGAACGAAAATCGATTTAGAAGAGCGTAAAATTTTACAAAAAATATTTCGACGATCCTAGCGGGTAAAAATCACCATAGCAATTAAGAGCTGCGTACACGAAATTATTATTCTCTAGCGAGCGTTGTACGAGCTCGCCACAACCAGTTCGCCCACGTAGACTATTCGAGATATAAATCAATGGAAAAATTGCGTCGCATGCGGCTCATAATTCGTTTGGTTAATATCGGTATCGCGATCTGTGGCGTGCGTTATGTGACTTGCACAATGCCGAAAGTAAGCGAGTTCAACCCGTACTTTTTTCGACGCATATCTTCAAAGGATACATAAAAGCATGCGTATTTTCCACGAAAAAATAATTACGTACGGATTTTCACTGTAATCCAACACTGTCATTAGTCGCGCGGCCCCGAGCGCGCCGCTATATTCTTTATCGATCACCGATTATTACGTGTATCGCGTAATCCAGGCTTATTCATACATTACGTACCTGTCTGTATAGTATATATACTATATACGCGCTCAGTCAGGAGAGATGCACTTATGTTGCGCGGCTGCAGGTACGACCTCGAGCGGCCTCGTAATAATCAGACATGTTCTCTCCTTCGCCTCTTAGATTATTGGTATACGCGCGTTCGCAAAGCTGTGGCAAAGGAAAAAATGAGAAATAAATTTGAAAATCGCTGCGGCCGGCCGATTGGATGATTGCCGCCGCATAGCGTATTATACAGCGCAATACACGAGTAGTACAGTCTGAATAAACGTATAATATCCTTCGATCTCCGACATTCGAAGGAAACAAAAGTTGAAATTCCTCGGGTGTGTATGGCTCCTCCCGCACGCGACTAGATGCTTTCCCACAAAATCAAACGAGCTCGCTTCATTTCCTCTCTCTAGCTGTCTCGTCGACTTATACAGACTGTACAGCACATATATACTTCCTGCATTATTTCACTTTGCTCCTCGCTCCGGCAAACAATCTTATCTGGATTTCGTACATTACATACGAGTGTGTATATCTGTGTATGTGTGCGTAACTATACTCACTCTCGTGCGTATTTTCACAGAGAAATTCCAGCGGACGAGTCGCAGGATCAGCAGCAACAGCAGCAGTCGGCGCACGGGTCCGCGGGCGGCAAGAGCAAACGCGCCTACCGATCGGCCAGTACAGATCTGCTCGAGACCAAGAGCAAAGACACGCCGGCCGAGAAGAAGTCTCATTTCAATACCCTCAAGGCCTGGGGCCGCTCGAGATTGAGACTCATCAGTCCCAAAAGCGCACAAGCCAGTCAACAGCACATGGTATGCATTCTTTTCATTCTACGATATTGAAGATTCGTATACGCAATGCTCGAGGTGAATTGAATGGTAATGGCGTTGTAGGACAATCTGGATGTTTCGTCGATCTCTTTGACGCCGACGACGACATCCTCGAGGCCTCTGTCGCCCGAAGACGAGATCCTCGACGCCAACGACGCGGCCACCTACGTAAAGGCAACGAATCGCCGATCCTACCACGAGCGCAAGCCGTCCTCCTCCTCGTCCAGCGGCAACTCCAACGTCAGCACGCCTAAGCTCCAGCAGCAACAGCAGCTACAGAAACAGCTTCAGCAGCAGCAGCAGCAGCAGCAGCAACAACAACAACAACTGCAGCGCCAGTCGCTGGTGCCGAAGGTCCTGGTGAACGGCCAGACGCAGGATCAGGAGAGCGGCTTCGTCAAGGAGACGGCCTCGGCCTCGTCGTCGACCTCGTCCAACGGCAACGGCAACGTGAAGCTGCGTGAGAGCGCGGCCGAGAGGCGCGAGCGCAGAAAGGCCAGCAGCAAGCCCGACGAGCCGCCGCACTCGAGCTCTGGCAATTGGAGCGCCTCGTCCGAGAGCGGCAGAGCCAGTATCGGTAGCGAGACCACAACGGCCACTACTCATCAGCCGAGGTAATTCATTCGTTCAGCGACCAGCTGCTTGCACTTTTTCTTTTGCTATACAGGCTAATTACTCGTATAACTTATGCGCGACTGATCAAAATTACTCATCTCGTTGTCATACGGTGAAAAATATATTAACCCTTTCCGTCTTGGAACTATCTTGTATAAATTTACTCGATAATCATTTTTTTCACGAGCAGAAAAACTATTCATACAGCTCAGACTAATTATCGCCACTATCTTATATAATAAAACGATGCCATAGCTTTTTTTGTCATTTTAATCGCGAATTACATAAGTCACGCGTATGCAGCAGCGAGCATACAACAAGTCGTTACACGTAACGCACATAGGAGCTACGACATTGGATATTGCTTGCTTGATTTTCAAGAACGACTTATTAACCTCCATATTGAACATATGCTTATTACGTGCACGTAGAGGCGTGCAGTGCACCGTCGTGCACATAGTCGCCGCGACATGTTTTATAGTCGATTTATAATCCACACGCACTGCATTCCATCGGGGATCTGCCGGACGATAAGTGCCGCGTATAGTTAATTTTTACGAGCCTCAACGAAATTAGCTTAGGCGCGCGAGCTGGCGATAAAAATCCTTAAACAACCTTTTCCGAACTTCGCTTTGACTCTCGAGCCGACCGATTTCTACGAAATGCACTACACGCACATCCGTTGCAAATATTTGCCGTGAACGATCCTTTGAGTGAATCGAGCCGTCGTCTAATGCTCGCCTGAGCGTCGTCAAACATCGTTAAACGTAGACCAACAAAAAGAGTTTTCACTTTGTTTTAGTTTGGTATGTTTGTTACTGCATTTTTTATTTAAAATATCAATAATAATACGTTTTTACTTGGTTCAACAGATCGACGACCACAGCCTCGATCGGCACATCGTCGAACTCACTGTCGCACGCGCGTCGGCTGAAAAATCGCGACAACTCGGCCTCCTCCTCGGTCACGTCCGAGGGCACCCTCACGCCGGACATAATCCAGGACATCAACGTCGTGCCGTTCTCGGACGACGGCGAGACTTCCTCGGTCTACTCGTGCGACACCGAGGGCTACTACACGTCGTTCCACGTGGACTCGGGCCTGAAGACGCTGCGCGAGGAGGAGCCCGCCTCGACGGCCGCCTCGTCGATCTCGGCCTCGCAGCAGCACCTGCTCCAACCGGTCCAGGCCCTCACCAAGACGAACGAGGTGCAGAGCGAGCCCGCGTCGCCCTGCGTCGAGAACGAGTACGAGCTGTTCGGGCGCGGATCGACCAGTACGACGACGAGCTCGGCCGGCACGGTTTGCACGACTCTGTTGGCGCCACCGCCACCCGAGAGGAAGAGCAGTCTCACCGTCGTCGCCATCGTAAGTAAACGATACGTTCAATTTTTCGGCCAACTCGAGTACTATATCGTACGAATTCGATGGACGCACAGGTGCACGGAGGCGCGAAGAAGAACGGCGGCGAGTCGCCGGACAGCGGACACAACACGTCCTCCTCGCCGGTGGAGTCGGCCTCTTCGCCGGCCTGCACCGGTCGATCCTGCTCCGAGTTCGAGTACTCCGAGTCGTCGGACCTCGAGGGCTGCGAGCGCATCGAGCGCATACGCTCCAAGACGGCTTGCACGACCAGTCGTATACCCTCGATGTGCGTCATCACGCCCCCAGGTTCGGACGACGAGCAGAGCCATCGCGAGCAGCAAGAGCAGCAGCAGCAGCAACAGCAGCAGCAGTCGCGATCGAAGAAGGACCGACCCAAGAGTAACGTACTCATGTCCGCGACCGTAGGCAGCTCCAAGATGGAGGTCATCAATGGCCAAGATAAAAATTTGTACGCCACGGTGCAGACGGTGCCGATTCAAGTTAGAGAACAGCAGCCAGTCACCAGTCAAAGTACCTACGACAAAGGTTTGTTATCGGTTGATTCGCTTCGTGAATTATCCATGCACGCTCCAGTCTCATTGGATAATTTTACAGTACCTCCAGCTCAAGCTCTGAAAACGAGTCCACTGAGTAGTGTGCTTGGTAAGCTCCGTACCGTCTTATCGAGTCACAAACAACAGCAGCAGCAGCAAGTGAAGTCGAACGTCGACTTGGAAACGAACAATCTGAACAACAATCGGCCACCGTTGGGGGCCAACGACCCGGGCGACTACGTGACGATCGCCGACGTGCGCAACAACAACGACAAGCGCACTTCGGCCGGGGCTGCCTCGAGTGCCACCTACGCCAACGCCGACCTCTTCAAGCGCGACGCCGAGTACGTGAGCCTGAGCGAGCTGCCGAGGAAGCAGGACTCGTCGCTCGAGAGGCGGCGACAGGGCGCCAGGGTGACCCTCGACTCCGAGGGCAAAGTCGTCTACTCGTCCGATAGTCTGAAGCGCAGGAAAGCCGCGCACACAACCTTCATTCCAGGTTGGTTTCTCCTATCCTCTATTTTTTTTTATTTTTTTTTTTCGCACGAATATTACATACTCGTAGCACGATCCAGTTGTAGTACGATTTGGTGAGTGGAATGAGCGAAAAAAAAAAACGAAAATATTTTACTACCTCCCCAGGACCATTTGTTAAAGAAGGCTCAAGTTCGCCTGGTCAATCGCCGATTTTGCGCCGAGCTCAAGTCGTGCCCCGGGCAGTGATTAGAACGGGTGACACAGTCGACGCAGCCTCGATCAAGCCCACGATCATCGCCGAGACGCCCAAGTCGAGCATCGCCGGCCAAGCTCAGCAGCAGTTGGGCAAGCTGATAATCCGCGCGGCCAAGTCGCCGGAGCGCAGCGTCAGTCCGGATTACGTTCGAACGCCGACTACCGTGGTCGGACCCACGCCTACGTCGGCCACGACGACGACGACGGCTACGCCGCTGAGCAGCATCGGCGCCGCGAGACTGGCTCGTCAGGGTGCCTACGTCAACGTCCAGGGCAGCGAAGGTAAGGCAGCGACCAACAACAACAACAACAACAACAACAACCACAACAACAGCAATAGGCGGTCTATGGTCAGAAGCTTCGATTCCTTTACTAATAACGGCGCTAAATCGCTTGCAAACGGTCACAATAACAAGAGCTCGAAGCCGATTAAGAACGGCGTCGTTTCGCCACCCGTCGACCCGAGCCGGCGAATAATCGCCAACAAGCAGGTGGCCGCGGGTAGAAAGTCCACAGGCGCGAGATTCAATTACATTCCGCAGAGCTTGCGCCAGCGGGGCGACACGCCGAAGCTCGTGCGTAGACTGCCGGTTATCGCGGACGGTGCCGTCGTTATCAGTCGCTCGAGCGACAGCGACAAGCCGAGCGCGACGGCCGATCGTAGCGCCGAGGCCAAGTCGGTCGGTAACAAGGAGAACAGCGAAAGCCTCGCTAATAATAACGTCGACTCGCCCAAAGTCGAGCGCAAGCTCCGACGCAGCGAGAGCTACAGGCTGGCCAACAGCCCGATCATGTTCATCAAGAAGCTGAATTCGTCGGCCGGCGCCGACAAGAGCCCGAGCAAGATCGTGAGAACGGCCTCGGACGAGCTGCGCGAGGAGCTGCTCAAAGAGCGCATCAATTATCCCGAGAGCGTAGCGAGTCCCGGTCCCCCGCAGCAGCAGAGTCCGAAGACGATCAACAACGATCGCGACGAGGACGAGAACGACGAGGACGCGCGGAATGCTGCCGATGTCGGTGCGGCGGCCCGTCTCGTTCTGGCCAATTTGACCCAGAGTCCGAGGCCGAGGGCCATCGATCTCGAGCCCGCCCGCGTTTTAAAGTACACGGGCTTAGAGTCCGAGATTTGGTAACTTTTCGACCTTCTTATCTTCCGAAATTGTCTTCCGTTATAGTTATAATCCTTAAACGAGCGAAAAACTGATCTCCTGATGCAATGAGCGAATAACGACCACCGACTATCAATCATTTATATTTTTACTAATTGTCCCCTCGTTTAGAGAATCACGTTTTTGCACTCGCGACTTTCCCACTGATAAAACTCATGATAAGACTCCTCTCGATGTTGTGACTACGATACATTAATTCAATGCATAGATTAATTGTAAAAGAAACAATCTTGATTCTTTTTCCACGATTAATAGACGATAAACAAAAAACACAAAGTTATACATTAACGCGGCAATGCATTCCGAGTGAATTTTCCACTTACTCGCGACTTCGCGCCGATAACTATACAGTACGCTATTAAATTTCGTCTCCATACAAGTACGATACCTTTTGAGGGTGCACACGCGCGATCAACTAAGCTTCGAGACAATGAAAGGGCTAAAAAATGCAGAGAAGCTCGACAAGATCGATGAACGATATTTTCTTTCTTTTGCGTTTGACTTTGCTATAGGTGCGATGCCGGTGCATTGCCCTCTATATAGCTTTAACGATCCGAATTAATGGCCTAAAATTTACGCGTCAACAATATCGACGAGCAAACAATATATTGCGTAAACGAACATTTGGTGCTAAAAATCGAATTGGAACGATGATCGCGAGACACTGACGTGGCTAGAGATCATCCTACTTTGATCCAGTTTTGGTTTATCGTCTCGTTTCAAGGACGCACGCTTGCATTAACGTTGCCGCGCATGGAATTTTTCGCTAAAGCGGCAAAACAAACTAATATTTTTGCAACGATAACGTTACAGAATTCACACAGACAAAGGAACGATCGCATATGACCCTTTGTAAGCCGTGGCTGTTGCGCAATGCAATTTTTTTTCTTTCCAACGAGCCTTGGCGAGATATATAGAAAATAGAAAGACTTTGTATAGCTCTCGTTTTTTCTTTAAATTTTCGTGTGTGGTCTATGGTGCGATCTTTCAGGACAATTAATGAATTATTTATCTTCGTTCACGCGTTCACGATTTTTGTTTCACGGGATTTTTTTAACTCAACCGACCCATTAGCGCTTCATTAGATCATTGTATACGATGATCGTGTCACAATTAATCATTTCCTCGAGAAAACATTGCGATAAATTTCTCTTTTCTTCAAACGTTTATGAGCCATCGTTTATTTGTACAGCCCAAACCACCAACGTAGTAGTCAATTGACCAAGTGAACTTGTGATCCGATTGATTTTTGGGATTCATTCAAGTATTGGAAGGACAGTGGAAAAATTTCGCGCCTTGTTTGATGCAGCCATTGTTTTCAATTTCGATATCTACTTTTGCATCGGAGTTTTCGCGAGTGAAATGAGAAATACATCCGCAATAAGCAGCCTCTATTGCATCAGAATACATTGAGATTGTGCTAAAAGCGATGTTTGTCACTTTTTATAATTGATATTGATGATTTGTTATAAACAAACATTCATTACGTGAGAAATAAATCAATTTTTAATTGATAACTTTCGACGTTTCCAAAAGTGGACTTGGTCTAAAAACCATAAAAATCAATGCAACGCGAGCCGGTGTCGAGCTCCTTCCATCAATAAATCGTTAGTAATCGCTCGCTGAAAATTATATTGTTTTCAATGGCTCAATTCTATTTTCTATTGCATCATAGAATGGAATAATTGTTAGCGCTGATCACGAGGTTGCCTCTAAGAAAAAGTGTGGAACTTGTCTATTTATTTTCGAACCCTAAGCTATTAGACAAACGATAATGATGCACCTATAAACGTTTCCATTTCCAGACAAAACTGTTTTTATTTTTAGAAAAACTGCAATCGCAGCTAATAGAAAATTTTTCGATATTTCTTCGCGTGTGTCAAGTATGTCAGTGACGATAAAGTCGCGAGAGTTAACGAGTGGAAAGACTTTCGGTGCAGCTCGAGATTACGCATTTGCGTTACTTACACATGCACATTGCACACATTTGCCGTAACGCTAGACGTGCAGTCGCCTGCCAATCCGGAGAAAACCTCGGAGCACGAGGAGAATCTTCGACAGTCGAGATCGGGCAGCCGGTCGGATCGTGCGAGCACACGCCACGCTGCAATTGCATCGATTGTACATAATTTCGCGTTTGTTTGTTAGTTGGTTTTCCTTCTTTTTTTTTTTTAACACACACATTTCTCAAGCTGAAGCCGACGTGGTTGAAAAAGCTTAAGATGCTGGCAAGGCATTTACTCTTTCTCGCAACGAGAAGACCCAGTGAGTTTTTTTCTCATACTTTATTTGGTGGATATATATTTATATTACTCGGGGAAATGTAATTGCTTATTCGCATGATCATACAAATTGGAATATCAGATTGTTTATATTTTGCTCGGCATCCCCAGCAAAATTCATATTAACCTTATTTTCTACAAAAAAATTGCACTTGGTCCTATTTCTCTTGTTTCCAATTCTTATCGTTATCTTATGCGCGAAGCGCAGGCGGAAAAAATTCATTCGCGTGAGACAAGTCGGCTTGAGTTTCTCACGTTAACGCGTGCCAAGACGCGAGGGAAAAAAACAAATTTATCAAATCACCAGTTTGTACTTTTCCTCCATTTCACATTATACTTAAACTTTTCTCTAATCAACTCTAGAGTAATTTGAATGTTTTAATTATTCTCTGGATGATAATTATTATATGGAATATGTTTTAAAACATATATTTCATATTCATATTTAATCGCCATCACTCGACTGAAATCGCGAACATGCGACTCTCGAGATACTTTTCATCTTGTATGTTGCAGCATATTAATGCATCTGTATACTTAAGTATTATGCATCGCATCGAAATTTCAAAACCTTTGATTGATTTTTAATGGAATTTGCTCTCGTTTATCTTATTTTTACGCGCGCGAGAGTCGTGTGTCCTGCCAAGTTGGATGACCCTCATCAGAGATTAAATTATCTTCAAGCATTTGAACGTGTCGTTGCAGTTAATTTCCTTTTCTGAAACCTTCTTTGCTCGCTTGTTGACAAAGCTCGCCGTGTGGGGAATTTATTATTCGAGGCTTCCAAGTTTTAATAAAGGGCAATAATTCTTGCCAGGGCTGAAAAAGCATTCTCGAGTTGACCGTATCAACATTTATCTCGTGACGTTTTTTTCTGCTCATCGAGACAACGCAGAATCATCGAGATTTGCACTAAAGATGAAAATTAGTTATCGGACGCCAACAAACGTAGCACGTACGCTTATCAATCGAAAAAAAAATAAAAAATTTTTTTTTGACGGATATAATGAGTTTTTGATAACAGTGACTCACAAATACAAGTGATATTACTTTCACACTATAATCATAAAAAAGGGTCAATAAATTGCGAATGTACAAAAATGACTCATGTGTGTATTTTCATGAGCTCGGCAGACAAAAACTCGAATCATTCAAAATATAGGACTAGCGTCAATTGTTATTAGCTCATTGCCTCACGCATCAGTTTTTTGAAAGACGCGCGCGTATACGTATAGCTCGATGAAATTTTAGTTAATTTTCGCATCTAGAGCAGCGAATACGCGTTACAAAAGTTCCGGTCACTTTTTCTTATTTCCTTCTTACGGTTGGAAGAAAAAAAGAAAATCAGTGATATTTACGTGAAATAAAAGTAATAAGCGCGAAGGAATCAAACACTTCTGACTTTGATAGAGTATTGTAATTTTTTTATACTCCACAGTGGCTTGTTTCGTTCGTTTAACATTCAGTCTTCTAGAGTTTAAGTAAAACAATCATCGCTAGTTGCCACATTTATATAGTTGAAAAAAAGTACAAAAGAAATTTAGAGGAAACATTGTAAATATGAAAAAATGAATTACATATATTTATATATATTGAAGGCTTGTAGATTTAGCGCAATGCAATGGTCGCTGTTTTTGAGTTAGAAAAAATTAATTTAATTAGGCGAAGCAATCGATCGAATAATTATATTATTTATATAATATAATATACATAATTAAATATTTGTGTAAATATTATGGTTAAACATACATTGTATCGTGCTCGCCTCGCGTTGTAAGTCTGGTCAAGCGAATGATCAAGTGACTAACACCTTTCACTAACTTTTTTTCGCTAAAATGTACATATCATCATTATTAATTTTTTATATGAAATTCACAAGAGGATAATAATTTTTATATGGCTTTTGCTAATAATATTTTACCATTATAAGGGATTTTAATTACTCATTTTAACATGATTATTTTTATTAAGTTTTGACTAAAAAAATTACATTGCGATGGGATAACTATAATGAAGCGGACGTATACTTACAACACGGGAGGTGCATATGTGTGTATTTGTGTATCTTAATTTATGATTTTATTTTAAGTTTCTTATCACTGATTGTTTACTTTTTATTTTTTTATCTATACTTTTTTATTATTCTTTTTTCTAATAAATTTTTTCTAGTAAGCACAACTTGATATAGCCTTAAGAATTGTATAATTTTTACATTTAAACCATTGAATGGTACTTTTCTTTTTTGTAAATATTTTGTAGAAAATCATTTAAGTTTTAGAACTGTACATTGATAAATAGATTTATGTTTTATCGATCTTTCGTTTTAACAAATTTTTGGAAATCAAGCGATAATTATTTTTTTCATTATGAAATATGTATCATATGAATGACTGCTTATTTTTTAATTAAAGGTTATTTAATTGCATCTGCATAAGATATTTTTTTCTTGTGTTTTTTACCGCACACTTTTTTCATACATTGTAGCACGTTGCACAACTACTACATCACACAAAATCAAGTATACAAAAATTACTAAATAATTCCATGATTGGTATATTGATTAAAGATAACATTCGAATGTAAACAATCGGGTTAATGAATTTTTGCCTGTGTTCGTGGAAGACACGAATGAAATCGTATTGATTGAAAAAAAAGAGTTAATCTTCACTTCTCAATATTGAATTTTTTGGCACTTTGGTTTGTTTGTCTTTGAGTTTTCATGTGTGACTCGTTCATCGTAATGTACTGTAGTGATAACGAGTACTTTTTGTTTTAATTTTTAAAAATCACCAACGCACCCAATCACACGAGTTTACGTTGTAACTCTCATCTATCATTATAGTTGCATTGTCATATATGCACGGTGAGTACAATTTTCGTTTTTTTTCTTATTTCACGCACGATTTGTTTTATCACAACCATTTTCTACTAACAAGTAATTTTGTAAATTTAATTTCTAACTTTTCGAAATAATATATGGGATGAGAGTGAATGCTTTCGCCAAATAACAAACAGAATATTAACCCAAAACCGTCCACGCAAAATTAAAATTATCGCTAATACTACATACGCTTGATGATTCATTTGACCAAACTATACAAGAAATACTGTAATTTCCATAAATAGTGTATAGCCTCTCAATTTCTACAAGCATATTCTATATAAGTAAAAAGCTTTTATTTTATAACGTAATTGAATCGGTTAGGCGCAGGATTAAATCAACAATCGATCATCTGAGAAACGGCAATGCAAACTCTCACGAGGTCATTGTTTGTTCACAGAAAAACCTACGCTTGTCAGTCAAGTGGCCGAGCAAAGCAACGCCGCTACTGCTTGCCAACATCAACAGCCGCCACCTTACATCGGTCCTCCGCAGGTGACCTACGCCGACAATCGCCTAACGCGTCCTCAACACCCAGTGCAAACTCAGCTTCCGTCGGCTACTCAACTGCAACAGAAACACCAACAACAAATACAACCACACAACATTCATCCTTATCAATTGCAAGCGAATCATCTGGCTCATCAACATCCTCATCATCCTCATCATTTAGTCTACGAATTCGATCCTCAATACCAAAGATTATACTCTAATTACGCGGACAATCAGCGAATCCTCTGCCAGAATCAGTTCTTCACTCTGCCAAATCGAAAGTCCCAACGCGAAGTGATCGATCCCCCGCGCAGCATAACTCCCGACATCACCAGAGGATTGGTAAATAGCAAAGTAGCGGTGGGCTCTCTAAGCGCAGCACACATGCTCGCCCGACAGGGTCAGAAAAATAATGTGTCGGAGAAATTGCTGGCCCACCATCATCAAGGCCAGATGTCGATGTATGCCCCATGCCAGGCTGAGCAACATCTGCAACAGCAGCAGCAACGAAGGATGTCACCCGTGGACATGAAAAACAGGTGTGTATCGATTTATAAATTGAAAATGTTTCAATTAAACTGATTCTTTGGCGTTCATTAGGTTCGCTTCTCCACACAGCTTATCAGCCGTGGGTTATCGTCTTTTTGCCTCGCCTGGCCTTCAACAGCAGCAGCAACAGCAAATGCAGCAACATCAACAGCAGTATCAAGAAAATCTGAAAAACGCGCCGTTTTCGCCAATCGGACCGGAGCATTCGAATGGAATTAGAACGTCGACACCAACATTGAAAAATAACTATCGAGCATTACCAAGCGTCGCCGAGAGGCTCGCGCTTCAATCGCAACGTTGCGCCTCTCCCAATCCAGCCCTTCTGAATTATTCGGACCGATCGGACTCTGGCAGGAATACACCGACGAGCTTGCTACTGTCGCCGATCAAGAGCACCATGTCAAACGAGGAACTGTTCGCAGTCATACACAAGTCGAAAAAGAGACTGAACATACGGGAGGACGGTGAGAGTCTCTCGCCGGCCAATTCGATCGGTTCGTTGAGCAAAGGACAACAAATGATCGGTACGAGACACAGTTGGAGTCCCGAATCTCAGAAGACACCCGAGGTAAGCTACTAGTTCTACCAACAGTTTAAAAAATACGAGCACATTTCCCGAGCTAAAGTGATTTTCCATCTTTTATAGATTCCAAAAACGATCCTAGCTCCACTGGCAACGTCTCGCATGGATTTCAAACGTCTACTGCTCCAACAGAGCATAAAGGTCGGACCCACTCGAATATCGGCGGCCGAACAGCTGAAGCTGTCGCGCCAACAACAGCTCCAGGAGCCATCTCAACAGACGGCCTCACCGATCAAGCACACGAATCAACAGATACCGTTGAACAAAGTCATGAGTCCGCGATCGGCCTGGAGATTCCAGACGCCGCGCACGGATGTGCTCTCGTCGACGATTATCGAGGACGCCGCCGCCGAGGAGAAGGCGATGAAGCCCTCGCCCGAGACCCCCTATCCCGTCACGAAATTGCCACCGGTGTCCACGAATTCGAGGCGGCAGCTCGACATGGCCGATGAAAATAAAAAGGAAGAGCTGACGAACGTCCTGAAGGAGAGCAAAAAAGTCATTAATCAGCTGGCACCGTCGCGGCCCCTCATGAAGAACGAGAAGGAACTGGAAAATCGTTTGCAGGCCATCGATGACAATCCAATCAAGGCCATTGAGAATCGGCGTATCAGCAATCAATTGGCCCGAGCACAATTTTTAGCTGGTAACAGCGCGACGAGCGCAGCCGACAACAACCCAAAAGATCTGTTCGGCGCGCGGTTCAGGGCGCGATCGGAATCGCCGCAGCAGAACGCTCACCAGCATCGGGTACTTAATTCGGGATCGCCGAGCAGCCAAGCGCAGCAACAGGCGGCCTCGGCGGCCGACGCGATCGTGTCGCGCAGCCCGAGCGCACCGGCCCTCGAAACAGCGCTCTAGAGAGCAAGCTGGGCATAGGCCTTTTCGACGTCAATTTTTTACTAGCTTTAACCGCTGCCTTGCATAGCCCATAGACGTATTAGCCCTTCGGAAGGGATTGTAAAATATATATATATATTATATAGCAAACAACTTGTACAATAACGAATCGATCTCGATAGTTATATTCATTTATGTTCTCGAGAAAGTCGCCAAAATATCATGCAACGTTCACATGATGAATTTCGCCAATCAGATTGCGAAATCGTTTCTTGACATTTTGAGCCAGCGAAATGTTATTTTTTTTTTTTTTTTGTATGTAAATTTTTAGTCTATAATGTTTTCTCATTTATGTACAGTTTACATATGTATATGCAAAATATTACGATTAAATTATTATACTTTGTATAAAAGCGTGAACATTTTGTGTTGAGTTTGTTGGTTTGTGAACGGTATATATTTTTGAAAGAAAATAATGTAAATATTTTTTATGACTTTATCACGCCGTTTACTCTGCGTACATACTATATAGTTTACTCAACGAGCACCACGATATAATTGTATTTTTCTTTTCACAAATTTGTATAGCACGCGATCGAACTAATTCAACAGTACGTTGTACCTTGATTTTATCAACTGGATATATTTGTAACAAATTGTATATTTTTCGATTTCGAAAAATGTTCAACAATGTAAAATGTAAATTAAATTTACTACGCTTATAAGTTTTCGCGCCTCTAACATTACGATAACGCAGCAATTTTTTCAAAAAATCAGTTAAATCATTCTTCCAAATGACTGAATTGCATTTAACTTATTGCAAAACGCAGTCTGAGCGAAATAAATTTCGTTCATTTGTCTCGCGTTTTGATTTAATTTGTACGTTTTATCGTTGAAAAAAAAATACACAAAAGAATTCAAGTGTCAGAGACTCGCAACAACGTAGATCAATATCTACGACTTTGTAGAGACTCAAGGCAATTGAACTTTGTCTTCTTTGTCAAATTTATACATCAAGGATATAATTATATAATACCTTCATCGTAACTGATGGAAAATTAACTTGAAGAATCTCAATCGCTTGCTACTAGTCTAGTCTGGGTAGATTATTTTCCTACTACATGTATGTTCTTACCTGAAAAAAATAAAATCAATTATTTATAATCTAGTGAACTATCGAACGAATTTGCCAAAAAAAGCCTTTTTTAATGAAACGATAAGAGATATTCAACGATTGGCTTTCATATATTATATTATATATTATATATACGCATCAACTTCATAAAATTTACATAATATTATATACACATATTTTTAATTATTAATTTGAATTATTGTCAACATAGTAGGCATTTTTTAAATATATGTAACTGCCTCACTTAACATGTATAAAAAATCGATCTATATGAATATTTATTCTTAAACATAAGTTATTAATAAATTATTTGAGCGCGTTAAAACAATAATGACCAAGTTGCCTTAATCTGAAAATTCAAAGTCTATAAATATTACAAATAACTAAATAAGTAAAAACTTTTTTTTTTTTAAATTCCTATCATACAATTGAGCTTGTTCTTTGTGTTTCTTCATTTTCATGCATTGATTGTTCAACTTGATAAATATGACGTGGATATTATTATTACAATTTATTAGCGTTTAAGCTAATCCTACAATTTTGTATCAAAGTGAAACTTATAAAAGAAAATATAAAATTTATCATAAATACACGCTTCATTTGAGTAATATTCTGAACATAGTATATTATTCAGTAGCTTTATGTACAAAAAAAAAATGATGACATTCTCAGTTCAAAACTTTAATAAGAATCGCCTTATTTTCCCGATCCCTTAGTTATCTCTCGAAAATAAATTTTTCCAATAACATTTTACTATTTTAAGGGTCACATTTCCTGACTGCTTCTTATCTACTATATGCTGCTGTAGCAAAAATATCATCTTTTCGTTTTTTCAAATAAATATTACTAATAATCAACCATTTCAAAAATGTAAGGTTTTATAAGGCATGATTTTATCTTTACTAGAAAATTAAACACATTCAGTAACTTACTATATAGATATTTATTTGTTTCCTTTATTTTCATAACATTTATTTTAAAATTCTATTTTAACACTTGAATTCAATAAGAAACTTACTATACGAAACTTATTATTAGCTAAAATTTCTTCTGTAGTTTGTAACCCTGTTGAAAATTTTGGCTGAATTTCTAGCTGAAGTCCAGCTAACGAGAAATCAACTTTGAAAATTTTTTCGAATTTTTTTATTTAAGCAACCATAACTTTTTAACTAAGCATCAAATCTCAAATTTAAGACCGGATTATGAAAGGGAATTAAATTTTACATAAAATTAAGTATGTGCGAAGTCTTTTCAAGGTCCTAAACATGGGAAAAAATTGCATCTATGGCGAACAAAAAATTTCGTCACTTTCGCCATTAGTGGGTTAACATGCATGAAAAATAAAAAAAAAAATTTCTCAGAAACCGATCGCAACTATTGCTTTTTATTGTACACATAAAAACCAACTTTTTTTGTAAATAAAGTTTTTTTCCACACCCGCTTGAACTCCGAGTATATGTGAATGAATAAAAAGGTTTTTTTCACTATAAAACGGCTGTATATTTGTGAAAAAGCACGTAGGACAATTTTTAAAAAAAGGATTTAAAGGTCTTGTCAAAACCTAAAAATCTATAGGCTTAAAATGTTTCTTTGACTTCTTTGTCTAAAATGGCAAGAGAATTAGCAGAGACAAAAAAAACAATATTTTTTTTCGTTAATTGTTAATAAAAATTGATAGATAAATAAATAAACTGAATAACAATTTTAATAACTTTAAAGTGCTGGCAAAGACCTTTCAAATGGTGCATCCCAAATTCAGATCTGACGTTTTTTTGACTGAGCTACGGCACTTTGAAGACTTAATCACGCAGATGCACTTATGTAGTTACAATAAATTATTCGCACAACACATCCATAGAAGAACACAATATTTTAAGTCCCATTGCTGACTATCTGCCTGAGCAGAAGTATAACTCTTTCATAATTATATTCAAGCTTTATTTTTTTCACTATAATTATAAGTATCAAAATGGTTATCCGCATGATGCTATGATGGTTATTGGCTGTATGGTATTTTCTGTTTGACATAAATTTGTTATCGTTGTAATAACAGTAAGTAACCCAAGTAACCCAAGTAACCCAAAGTTTCCCATTTTCCTAGGAAAAATCGCCGGGAAACCTTTAAAGTTGATTATCTCGAAAACTTCATTTTTAAGATTTTTCTAAATAGTCTAGAAGAAAGATCAGGGAATTTTCCATCGATATCACAAGGATGCCCAAATATTTTAGTTGACGAAGCTTTATTTAAGTAGTAAGAAGTGAAAACTTGCCTATCGCTGGTCCTATTTTTCTAATGCAAGCAATTAAATTGGCCACGGTATTTATATGTTCAAATATTACATGTAGTTGCGCATAGATCGATATAGTTCAATTTTTTAACTATTAAAGCCCTTCACCCATCAAATTTACGTCATGCACTTTTTATTTAATAGGATGTTCTTTCTATTGTTCCAGTTTTTGTGAATTTTTTGCATCAGTATAAGGAGCTAGGCTGATTTGCATTCAAAAGGGCAAAATCTTCTAGATAAAGCATCAATTTCACGAGTTAGAAAAACCTTAAGCATAAATTCAAATTTTAATATATTTTTGAATTTACCGCGCTGGCGCCATCTTAGTTTCTTTCGTGGTCGGGAGTTTGGACGGGAATAGAACTGCTTTGCTGCGCATCATGAGCATGTAAGCCATAAACTGTTCCCAATATCTAAGCTACGTCCAGAGTATTGGAGTTACGACTCCAATATCTACACGTAATTCAACAGAGTACATATAGCTACTAGCCTTAACATACGTGTGAGTGTGCACTGCGCAGTGCGCTCAACGTCTACACTCTACAATCTACCTCACCATATAACATATAACTGTTCAGACTTCACAGTTGGCATATTGTTAATGCTAGGCTAGGACGCCGTAGTTGAGGCGTAATTCTCTTTATACTCTGCTCGAGCTGATTTCTTGCTCGATTCACGTCGCATCCGAGATAAGACGTCCGAGTGACCACGAACATCGTTGTCTTGTCAGCTTGGTGAGCTTTTGTTTTACCACCCAGAGTACAGAGAAAACGTTCGCTGCAGCTTCGAGGCTGCTATCATCCATAGTCGATTCCCCGCGCCGTCGTCCAAGATGACGGCCCACGACCAGATGCGTGCTATGCTCGACCAGCTCATGGGCACCGGGCGCAACGGTAAGGTTTTTTTTTACTCTACACGTTAATATTTATCAAAAAACCATCTCGTATAAATACAAATACAATATGAAAAATATTTTTACTCAATGCGTTCTGTGCGTTGCTACCTATATCTAGCCGTGAAAATGTGATGGCGTAAGTCCCGCGAGTTCTTGTTAATCTTATCATTTTAGCCCCCCACGCCTGTATACTATCGGGAACATTTATCATGAGAACGCGCGGCAGCTTTTTTCATGTTTATTTCTATTTGTAAAAACTTGAATATTAATATCCTGCTAATAAAGCTAAAATGTTATAGAATTAAAATGTTGTTATATAGATAATACCATACTTAAAGAAACCAAAATGCTTATTAATCCATTATATATCACTAAGACGTTGTGATGTATCTGTGGTAGTTTATTTAATAATTATAAATGATCAATAGAAACAAGGACTATCTGCAGAACTTCTGTGATTCAAATAGATTTTATGTCTCATAAAAGAATTGTTTTATTTGTTTGTTTAATTCATATTTTATAAGTAACAATAATATACTTAATTGTTCAATTTTTAAAAGTTTAATTAATCAATGTCTTTTTTTATTTCAATTTTAGGTGAAAACAACAAGTTCCAAGTGAAATATTCTGATCCCAAAGTCTGCAAAAGTTTTCTGCTTGCATGTTGCCCTCATGAAATTTTATCATCCACGGTGAGTACATTGGGAGGTCCTTGAGGTCCTAAAATTTGGTTAAGTTGGTCTATCTTTTAAATCTTGTATAGGACTTTTCTACCAAATGAAAGAATTAAGTAATCATTTTAGATAGGTGTTAATACTTTTCATTTGACTCCAAATACTTCTACGCTATTATTTTTGATAATTTACTTCCTTTCATTTTTTTTTTAAATTACTTCATCTTACCCCAGTCTATATTTGGAACTAATGCTGTACTGTTATCCAGCGGTACTCTATTTCCAGAGCGTCTGGAAAAACAATTGCGAACCAATTGTTTGTGATACCCTGTTGAATTATGTTCGATTCTTAGATGTTGAAATATGGTAACGCGTTCATTCCGTAAGTACTAAAAAATAGTTTCAAAAACACATAATATTACGTACGTATTACATTTATCATTGATTCTACTTAATATACTTAAACTACTTGGTTGATTTGTGTTGCATACACAATTACCTAAAAAGACTCTTGTAGAAAGTAAAATAACTTGAAAATTTATAACTAACTTGATTTTACTTGAATCATGCTTTTATATATCCATTTTTCTGAATTATACAAATGATAGCAGTATTCAAGTATATCTTGTAAAATTTATGAATTTTGCTTGTAAAAACTTCTACTAGGGTGTATGCACATATATTTATATTGATTGCTTGGAAGTGAGAGTAACACTGGAGTTTCATCTGGATTTTTTCCAGTACACATTAAAATGAAGTCCATTTTTTGCTTTATTCCAAGACTACACATGTTGAACTACCCTTGATCTGTTGCGTGCTTGGGTGAGTAGAGCGTTTCTTGAAAAACAAAATGTTTAAAGATTATTCATATTCAACTGCCAAAATCAGATTCTCTAAACCCAAGAGAGAAAAGTTATGAAACACTAAAACTTTCCGTGAGTATGAGTGACTACAGAAGAGAGAGTTCAATTTATTTTGTTTTGCTCGCAGAAGCGTATAGAAAAAGGGAGGCACTGACTGTAAGTAAAGCTTCACAAACTGCCAAAAGTTGGGATAAATTTCTTCATTTTTACGATTGATACATCAACTAGATTTTTTTTTATGCAAGTGAAATAGAATCTTTTTAACTGATATTTTGACTTTATGTTGAATACATTTTTTACTTAAATTTAGAACTTTGGCAATTTGTGAAAGAAACCGTCAAAGTAGGTGGAAGAAAGGGATTTGGCTCTATGGATAAAACAGCAGAGCGAGGTTTTTATCGTACGTATAAATTGAAAAAACTTTTTAGAAATCCATATTTATATTCGGAATTGTTGTAATTACTTGGTTACCAAGCAAACGATTGAAAATCGAAAAGAATATTTTGATTCACTTCTGCTAAGTCATTGTTTTAAATTGATGAAATATAAAACTTAAGGTTGTGCTGATGCGTGTAATTCATCGTTGTTCATCTCTCAATGTCAGACGTCGCAGGGGGTAGCTACTCTGTAAGTGAGTCCAAACCAACATACTATCATTATAGAAAGTTAATAATTTGTTATTTCTTTTTATTTTATTAATAATTAAACTCTCTTGATTTAATTTTTTTATTACTATTACCTGTATGTTAAATGATATGATGATTTAACTGCAAAAAAATGAAGCAGTTTTCATCGGGCATGAGTTCAATGAAATATATTAATACTTAAATTTATCTGGAGAGCAGTAAAACTTATTTTACAAAAAATCAGATGGGCTCTCTTATTTCCTGTGTATAGGAGCAATGTCTCTATCAATTTATTGACTTTTATTCAAAAGTTCAACCATAAGCAGATTCAACCGCACAGCCTTTCAAATTCACTACAATAGGTTCTGTTTAACCAGTGTGGAAGACTTTTGCCGAAGACACAAATGCCTTTGTAAGTCTGACAAACGCAAATCATATTCGAAATAACGAATAAAAATGTTTATAGCTCACAAAAGGAAGTTAACTATAATAAAATAAGAATTCATATCAATCTGTACAATTTAGGTGAACATTATTTGATGTTTTATCTTTGTAAACATCTCTTGAAATTTCAGTTAGATTGCAATCAAAAAGTGTTCAATTTCTTAAAAATAATGATCAGTTAAAAATCAATTATATGATAAAAGTATAGAGTACTGAACCTTTTATACCCTTTGATTGCACATTGTCTTAGGAAAGAAACTATTACAATAATTATAGAATATACTCATTTTACCTGTAATAAATGAAATTAACCGCGCAATATTTTAATATCGATGATCAGTTATCAAAGGGGATCTAAAAAAATTGGATCTCATTTTTCATGATATTTTTTACAAAAACTAATGAAAGTTGATTGTTAATCGCAGCGCATGGACTTGGGAGAATGTCCTCAAATTCACGACTTGGCATTGCGTGCTGACTATGAGAACGCGCAGAAGAAGAAAGATCACTTTTATGACATTGACGTGAGTATCTTTACACATTGTTATTCATTCTCATTCATGAAGTAGTTCTATCAATTAGCAACTAATTAAATTTATTTTATACAGGCCAATGAACACTTGAAAAACTTCATAGCCGACTGCGATCGTCGTACTGAGCAAGCCAAGCAGCGACTAGCTGAAACACAAGAAGAGCTAAGTGCTGAAGTAGCCGCCAAGGCCAATAGCGTTCATGTTTTGGCTGAAGAGATCGGTAAAAAACTGGCAAAAGCTGAACAATTGGGCGAAGAAGGCTTCGTAGAAGAATCAATGAAGCTCATGGGTGAAATTGACGAGCTGCGTAAAAAGAAAAATGATGCTGAACAAGAGTACCGTAACAGCATGCCGGCATCGTCATATCAACAACAAAAGCTCCGAGTTTGTGAAGTGTGCTCGGCTTATCTGGGAATTCACGACAATGACCGTCGTTTGGCGGACCATTTTGGTGGCAAATTACATCTTGGCTTCATTAAAATCCGTGAAAAACTTGCCGAACTGGAAAGTACCATGGAGAAACGTAGAAAAGAGAGACGAGAAATTCAAGATCGCGAACGTGGAGGAAGCAGGTACAGGAGTCGAAGCAGAAGTCGTAGTCGAGGTAGGGACAGAAGCAGAGAACGGCGAGACAGAGATGGCAGAAGGGATAGAAGCAGGGACAGAAGAGATAGAGATAGGGATAGGGAAAGAAGAGATAGAGATAGAAGAAGGTCCAGAGATAGAAGGAGGGCATCTAGGTCAAGGAGTCGTAGTCGTGATAAGAGAAGGTAATTTGATTATTCAATAGTACTTGATTTCAAGAATATTTAAAACTAATATTTTCTATTCTATATATTTAATTTTTACTATGATGAATCAAACGGCCGATCTGAGCTTCATTCAATCAAGTCGATTGATTCTTATGAATCTCCTTTTTGTCTGTACAATGATTTTTCAGCCGAAGCGATTAACTGATAACAATATTTAAATGTTACATTTTTATAGAAAACGTATTACATTTTATTTACGAAACTTAATTATATTTTTGTTTCAGGTCTAAGCGTTCTCGCAGCAGCAGTCGTAATAGAAGATCACGCTCTCATCGCAGTGGCTCCAACGACCGCAAAAAATAATTTCAAAGATGTCCTTTCATTAACGTACAAAACATCGTACGGTTATTCTTACCTAATTTATAATATTTAATATATGATAAATGCTTGAATAGATTTTGTATATTAAGATAAATAGTAAGATTAATTTCAGGCATCAATTATATTATAATATACTCTTAAATTAGAAATTAATGAAGAAAAAAATGAATTCATTAATAAATTTTAAATTGAATATTGAGAATTTTTATTTTCAGTTGTGAATTATAAAACGGCGATTCTCTTGTACTTGTAAAATTTAGCAAAACTGTATGTTTTATTATAAATAGTTAGGTTAATGATTTATTTCATTTAGATAATAATAACAATGATTACAACTACAATAATGTAAATCCTTTTTTATTTACTTAAGCAATAATAAATATATAAATGTGATTTCAATCAGTTTCTTTGTCACTTAAAATTTAATTTTTATCCAACTTATTGACTTTTTATAACTATTTTATGGAAGAAAATAATTGAAAATAAATAACAATATAATGACATCATGCTTTGGGGATTTTAAATCGATTCATCATTACCAAACTTTCATTAATCTATTCATTTTAAAAATTGTGAATTAACTTTCTTCTTGAGTTAAAAGCTTTATGGGTCTAAAAAAATTCCATATTTGGTATATTTACTTGTTTCAGCCTTTTTGATTTTATTATTTATTTTGTATTAATATCACAAAGACATAATCTTTTACATTCAATAATGGTGTACATTTTTATGACAAATTTTTATTATATAAATTTACTAAAACAATATCTACAACAAAGTTTCTTAAAATTTATGTTCATCAATAAAAGTGTAACAATAAATAAAGTCTATAATACAGTAAATAATACTGCTATCATTAACAATCAACTAAAATATGCTCAATTGCTTGAAATATACAAAAAATGTAAAACAAGCAGGGAAAACAGTAGTTTTAAAAAATACCAAAATATTCATCAAAGATTACATTCATTAGTTTGTTATTATAACAATAAAAATCACACACAAAATCCATCATGAAACACTAAAAATATCCACAATTCAAATTTTCAAAAATCAAACATTTGATAAAAGTAGTCTTTTCTGTAATCTGTTTTGACGTGCTACACATAATTTTATAAATTTAAAAATTTTGTTACAACTGAAACTGTCAGGGTTTTGTTTACTATAAATATTTAAATAAATTCCAATCACGACTAAAAGTCCAGACCAAATGTATTGACTTGTGAAAGGTTTATAAAACAGGAAAAAACTTATTATAATAGTTACTGCTTTACGGCAAGTAGTCACTGTTGCTGCTACAAAAGCTCCACTAGATTGAACTAATGAAAGAACAACTTGAATTCCTAAGTAACCAGAGATTGAAAAAAGTAAGGCATATCCATAGGTTTCAACTGGATTCTAAAATTGGAAAATGTTACTTTGAATAAAATTATGCCTATTACCAAAAAAAATTATAGAATGGATAATAATTTACCTTTACACAAAAAGCTGTTCCTTTGAAAAAATCTCCTGTTAAAAGCAGTATAATGAACAAATAAACAAATCCAATGCTGTAAGAATACAGAACAATTTCTGCATTGGCTGCTTTAAATTTTTTCATTGTTTTTTCCTGAATATTTCCTATTAAAGCATCACAAAGTAGGGCACAGCTTATCATAACTACTCCAATAATATCAAAGCGAGGTGAAATCATACTATCAGCAAGAGTGAAAAGTATAAGCCCAAAGCACATAAGGCTTGCAGCGAAAAAGTCCAGCCAACCATAGCGTTTTTTCTGAATGATGATGCTTCCTATCAGCACAGGAATAAGCTTGCAGCATTTAAAAATCACCTATAAAATAGCAATTTTGAAATAGAAATGTCTCTATTAGCATTTAACTGTTTAAATTTAACAATTTGAAATTCAAATTTGAAACATATTATAGGAAAAATTCTTCATTATTAATATTGCTATGACTGACCTGAGTAGGATAGTTCAAGTAACCCAATGATGAGTTAGAAAATCCCATTGTTCCAAGAGTCAACAATGCAAGCAGTAAGTAAGTACTAATAGAAACTTTTCTACTTATGTTTCTTATTTTGCATTCTATCCATCCAAATATTGTATAATAGGCAAATTGTATGAGTGTTAGATACCATCCAAATGGTCGAAATCCATCAAGGGTAAATATCAATTCCTATTAAATTGTAAAAGAAACATTATTTAACATTAGAACCAATGATGAATCTCAATTCCACAAATATACCTGCAAGTATCCGTAAATAATATAACACGTGAAGATTCCAATACTACACCAGAATACTTGTGTTTTTGTACTGCAATCACTAAGATCAAAGCAAAATAACTTAACATCTTTTTGTTGTTGCAACTTAGGAACAGAACCATTCTCCATTGATATCACTAAAAAACATTCACGATTGAAAAAATAACATCATACTGTATCATACACAAATAATATTATCAAAAAATACAAAAATATAAATCTTAAATTTCTACCTTGATAATCAATTTCTCGCTTGTTACGAGACATGCTGATATTTGAATGTCAACGAGTGGGCGTTTGTTTTGGTTCTATTCTGGCTAACCTTGTTTTGCCGGCATTCTATTTCCATTAAAAGAAAAATAATGGCCTATGAAACTTGAAGGTAGGTGAAAATTTTTTCTCGTGTTGAAACTACTTCATTTCAGTTTAGTTGACAGAAAATTGGTTAAAATAAATTCTAACAAAGAATACAAGCAAATATTCGTATGCTAATTTTAAGTTGTGCCAGCAAAGTGCAATTGCAAGTCGGTAGTAACACTGACAACGTTTCAGTAGAGGAGCGCGTCATCTACTGTTATTAGTTAGTACTTTATAATATTTTGCACGACAGAGATCAGTTTTTTGAATTAAACTTTTTGTCGATGCATAAAATTTTAAACAAATGATTCGAGGTAGAATTTGTCGCTTTTGTCGATATGAAATTCATAAAAAAAAATAATAATAATAAAGCTACTCCCGCTATGCTATGAGCAATGAGCAATCCACCATAAAGCGCCTCCTACTAGGGGATTCCCTGATCACCGCATTTATTCAATAACGATTGACGATCGGGATTCGGGACAGTAAAGTTCGAGAATCAGTGAATTCTTGATTTATAGTTTTTCGACTTCATCGATTTGTCTACTAAGTATAAGTATTACTGAAAACACATCAGATATATTTTCATTATTATGGGTGATCAAGAGAAATCCATTTTCGAAAACTTGAATATTCATAAAAAGACTTTTCTCAGAGCATGGAAATTGAAACCTATTCAGGAGCATAAAAATGCCAGTATTGCAGACAAATTGAGAAAAGAAGGCAATCGTCTTTTTATCAACAATGAACACAATCATCGCATGCACTACCAAATTCTTGAGCATTACTGCAAGAGTTTAGCCTTTGCACCGATGGGCTCCAAAGAATTTATTTTTGCTAATGCTAATCTGTCCGCGTTTTTAGTTCATGTCAAAAAATATGAACAATGTATTGATGTGATTGACAGTACTTTGGGCATGACAAGGAGCCTTATTTTAAAGATTAAGTTGCTGTGTCGTAAAATGGAATGTTTAAAACAACTTGGTTCACATGACTACAAAAAAGTTTTGGATGAAGCTAAAGAGAGTCTTACTAAGCTGGATAAAGATGAGCTTACCCAAGGAACATACTACGTATCAAAATCAGAAAAAGCTTGCAAGTTAATGAGTATACTAAATAGTAATAATTATCAAATTAATGTAGCAAAAAGTGCTCAGTTTGATCAAGAGGCAGATGATGTTGAAGCAGCTATTTCAGTTAATTACAATGATAAGTTTGGTACCCACTTGATAGCAAAAAGATCATTTAAACCTGGAAAAATAATTTTTGTGGATCAAGTTTATGATACTGTTTTAGATGCCAAAAAAAAATACACAAATTGCAGCTACTGTTTCAAAATACTTTGGAAAGCAATACCTTGCAATACATGTAACAATACCTTGTACTGCTCGACCAATTGTCAAGAAGAAGCTTGGTCTAAATACCATGATACAGAGTGTTCTTTGATTCCACAAATTTCACTTGTAGCCCCAGGTTTTATAAATTCTTATCACTTGTGTGTACGGTTACTTGTAAAGGGCTTAAAAGAAACCAAAAAGATAAGCATATTAAAAAACAAGGTTGAGCATATTTTAAAAGGTAATTTGTTAAAATCATAAATAATCTGAAAGTTATGTTACAACAATATTATTAGAATAATGAAAGAATTTTTACTTGCAGGTGATGCTCAAGATAATAACAACAAAGCGAAAAAATTTATGAAAAACAACTTTGAATCAGTTTATTCATTAAAAGTTTCTTTAAATAATAATTTTACATCAAGAAATCAATCTGATGCTATTTATGTTGGTGTTTGGATGGCTATTATATGCTTTGTGAAGCATTCTTTTCTACATGAACAGATACAATTAAAAAGCCTGAAAAGTTTCATGATTAATGAAGATGTTATTTTTTTGGCCAAATTATTATTGAATTTGTGCTCAATAAAAGACCAATATGGACTCAAAGTATAATATATTAACTAATCAATAATGATTTGTAATTAAAATTATTTTATAATCCATTAATATTTTCAGTATCAAGAAGTACAAAATGGATGGCTATTGTGTGATGAGTTTGAAAAATACTCAGAATCTTATGTTGATGACACTAATGAATCTTTTTGTATGTCTCCATTGACAAGTCTAATCAATCACTCCTGTCAACCAAATGCTATGTACACTTACTTAAACAATAGAAAAATAGCTGTGGTTGCTTTGGGAAGGATTAAAAAAAATTCTCAGGTCTTTTTTTTTAATTTAATTCTCTATAATTAATTTATTTTTCATGATAATTTATCATTTTTTATTGACATTTTACAGATATTTATTAACTACATTCCACAATTTTTCAATCTTGAAGTAAAATACAGGCATGAAGAATTAAAAAAATTTAATTTGATTTGTGATTGTACCATTTGTGAAATAAATATGCCTCAACTAGGTATTCCATGGAGACTTTACCCATCGGTAAAATGAGTATTTTTTAACCAGTTAAACTTATAAAACATATAGTAGTAATTGCAAAAAGTAATATAAAAATTTATTTGCAGCATTTATATTTCATGGCTCAAACAATACAGGATAAAACATTTATGAAAATTGTAGAAAAATGTAAAAATATTTTTTGGGTTCTTACTGCAGGAGGATATTTGAACAGAGATGCAATACCTCTATTATCAAAAGCTATCACTGAGGCATCCATAAGTCTACCACAGCCAAATATACTTTCCTATTATTTGCAAAATTTGTTGCAAAATATAATTCTACATGTTCATGGAATAAAGTTTGAAAAATTCTATGAAAATTGTAACACAGTACGCTCATAGTAAGTTTTTATAGTATATTTGAAACTTCGTTTCATTACTGTAGTGCTGATATTGTGCTTTAATGATTTTATCCTTAAAATGAAAATTCAAATTAATATTATACAAATTAATATGAGCAGCATTGTAAATGTGAGGTAAACAGCCTTTCTGATGTGCATTGTATACCATTGACATTTACTTCAAAAATTATTAATAAAGCAAAATTTACCTTAAAAATTTCTTTGTATTATATTATTTAAAATACTTTTGAATATCATTACAAAAAATGTTTATATCTTTTTTTAGGCAAAAGATTGTGTAATAGGTTACTTCATTACATAGCTCGCGCAAAAATTGTTATGACTATAATCATTAATTTGATTAAAAATATTTCTCAATTTAGTGATCAATGCAAAACGGGGTATGCCGCCGTCATTTTTAAATAAGTACATTCGACTGAAATAAGACTTGAAAGTAACTGCAATGTAACACGTGAAGAACTTAGCTCAGTTGCCACTCGCTCATAGCAACATACCTCATTTCTCAATAATGTCAGCTAGTGTCGAGAATAATTTTTGTTTCAGTCTAAGAGTAGAGGACTAATTTTCCAATTATTTTGTTCTCGAGCAACAGGTGAATACTTTAGTTAGCCCAGTCAGAATTTATTTTGAACCATTTATTAATAATTCACTAAGTAAATCCAATTGTTAAACAGTACTTAAATGTACGTTTAAGAATTCGATCATATACAATATTCATTAAATATGATAGATATTGAATTATGATCATATTTTGTTAATCTAATTCATGATAATTAACTTCGAGATTATTGTTAACAATTATATTCTTATACTTTCTTGAAATATAAATACTTTGCATATTTCGATAAAATACTCATTAGATTGCATTAAAGAGTGCAAAAATATTTTACAAACGATTTTTTATTTAAAAAGCTATTTAGGTCAAACAATGGATAACGTGCTAAAACCTATTCCGATAGAAGACTGGCATTTACTGAGAGACTTGCTAAAAAGACAATGGCCTAAATATATAAAGGTTAATAATTTTTTTCTTTTAAATTAATAGTACTTATAATCAATTCGAAAAATGTATATTTGATGTTATCTTAGTATTACTATTGGCTGAACAATGCGATTAGATGGATGACTACTGGATTCGATAAAGACTTATATCAAATATACTGCCCAAATGGAAAATATGAAACTGGCACTTTTATTGGAGTGCTTTCAGTAAGTAAATTAATATTATTTATTCGCAAGTTGCACAGTAACCGAAAAGACACGATTTCAAACGATAAACCGTGTCAACAAAATTTGAGTTTTACTCGATAGTTATACTGATAATTTATTGTTTTAAATGTATAAAATATTTAAAATCAATTTCATGGAACATATTTTGTAAAGTAATTAATTTAGCATTCGTGCGTAATTATCGAGGGAGTTATCATTTGAATATGTTTAAATATCAGTGAGCCTTTATATAGTGATTAATGTATAATTTGAGATAGTATTCTCGTTAAAATTTTGAAAGTAAGGAAAAATTTCCTATTATCGAGCAACGCTTAACACGGCGTACTTTTGTTGAAAAATAATAGAGATTATTCATAAATAATTTTACGCAGTAATAATCTGTCCGAATCGAATAACTAATTAGGCATTCCTAAAAAGTGCCTTAATAGCCAATTGACAAACGATCGAAAATTCCATCAGCACACCACACAAGGCGATTCTCATACGCGTGATCTGCGGGGAATTTCATAAGTTTGTTGAATCCATTAGTAAACTTATACATATAAATTAATAACACAAAGTCGATGAAAAATTATTTTAATCATTACTTTTTTAGCTTCTGACGTGTAGGGTTGTAATATTCAGTTTTGAAGAAACAAAAGAACTATTGCAAAAATCAATCCTTGATCTTCCAAGAGTAATCCATTGGTCCGAAGTAATATTTTGTGCCGTTCATGAAAATCTCGAGGAAGTTTTATCAGAGTCATTAAAACAAATGAACATTCTCACTGAATTTTCAACCGTCACTATTTGTCATTACAAAACTAAAGAAGATTGTGCTCAACAATTAGTGGAGTGAGTTACTGTCGATTTAGTTTAAACTTTTCAAGTTATAAAACGCTTGGCAACATTTTTTTTAGAATTCCGCCCGAGGTTTATGTCGAAAATTTGGATCTTAAGCATGTCAAGGAGATTCATTCGGTTTGGCCGCATCGTGACAAGAAAAACCCTGAATTATCATTTAATTTTTTGTACACTTTAGTCGAATACAATGGTGGACTCGGTCTATTTTTGAAGGACAACGATCGTCTGGTTGCGTGGGTATTACACAGCGAATGGGACGGTCTTAGTATGTTACAAACCATTGATGACCACAAAAAAAAAGGCTACGGTGCGGCAATAGTTCGAGCAGCGTCCAAGGGATTGGCAACCGAACACAATATCGATACGGCATTAGACGTTGTAGAGGATAACGCAGCGGCACTAAAATTGTTCAAATCCTTAGGTTACCAGAGCTTGCATAAAGCCGTTTGGGTTCATACGCTAGGGCCAAAAGAAAAAAAAAGTTTATAGTTTTTCGTTGAAATATAATCCTTAATTTTATTTTTGTATTCTTTCAAACCTGTCAGTTGAAAAATTATGTATAAATGCATGTAATTTTTTACTAATACTCTTTTTAAACTTGAATAAAAAAATTCATTTATTAAATTTCGACTAACTTATTATTTCATTTATTATAAAAATAACCCGAATTCAATAATCAAGAAGTTCTGTTGACATCACTTTAATTCATCAAATAATTATAAAAACACCCGAGGGACGTTCGAATTAAATTTCCCAATCTGAGACGCTCAGACTAGTTAAAAAATTGCCTTTCGAGCTTCATTCAGCCAACTACATGCTTGATGCTCGCCTGTTCAGCAGCATATTACTTATTTTATTTTCTGCTAGTTTGGAGTGTCTGCATGTTATGAAAACCATTTCATAACCTACGTATATTTTTATTTTCTTACAGACAGCAATAATATGTGCAATTATTTGAAAAATAATTTTCTATGATAAAAAAAAAGTTAAAAAATAAATTTTGATGAATGTTGATACATTAAAAATGTTTAGTTGGCAGTTTACAATTCCCTCTTCATGTTTCGTAACATTGTTGTAAAAGAAAAAGTGGAGCTTTCGAAATTATCAGAAATTAGCGTGCATTGGAATAACAACAATTTAACGGTAAAAATTCAAATTGTTTATTGAGTAAAAATGCTGATTTTCAAATCATCAATTTTTCCATTTGACTCTTTAAGCACATCAATCCAATTGTTACTCTAATATTTGTTTTGAAAAAGTGGAATTCGAGATATTCTGATGATTGTTGACTAGCAAGTTTACCCAAGTTTTTAAAATTTTCAACTAATACCAAAATAATTTACTCGATATGATTTGCTACTAACAGGAGCAGACATCTCCAGAGGTTCAAGTTTGAAGTAAATAAAATACTGCAATACAATGGCTTTCTTTAAAAAATATAATTATTCTACAATTTGGGGTAATGCTTTGAATTATCTAAAAGCTCAACTAGGACTCCAGCAAGTAACAAAAAAATTATATCAAGTGGAAAAACTTGATATACCAAAACCACAGTTAAAGTTCAAAGAGAAAGTTGACAACAGTGAAACTATTTGGAAACCTACTTTAATGTATAAACCTAATTCAATGCAACCTCTTGATTTACAGCTTGAATTGAAATCTGATGGGACTTATGAATATTGTCATCCTTATAAATATGAATTAGAGAATTTTCATCCACCTTCATGGCAACTTAAAAAAAAATTGACTAAAAGATTTCAGCCATTAGAAGATACACCATTATACTTCATTGACAAAGAAGATAAGCTTCATGATATGTTGGAAAATTTAAAAACTTGCAGTGAAATTGCTGTAGACTTGGAAAATCATTCGCCAAGAAGTTTCCAAGGAATAACATGTCTCATACAAATATCCACTAGAGATACTGATTATATTATAGATACTTTGAGCTTACGTTCAGAATTACATGTTTTAAATGATATTTTCACAAAACCAACTATACTCAAGGTCTTTCATTCTGCCGAAATGGACATTATTTGGTTACAAAGAGATTTTTCATTGTACGTTGTAAATATGTTTGATACTCAAAAAGCTGCTAAAAAGTTAGAATTTCCCTTAAGTTTATCATATCTATTAACAACATGTTGTCAGTTAAACATTGATAAGAATTCAAAAAAAAACTTTCAAATGTCTGATTGGAGAAAAAGACCGTTAACAAAAAGTTTATTGAAGTATGCTCGCGAGGATACACATTATTTGCTATACATAAAGGATGTATTGACAAATGCTCTAATTGAGAACAATAAAGAAGATTTACAATCTCTGTTAAATGTTTACAAGGAAAGTACGGAAGTATGTAAAAAAGTGTATGCAAAACCAGTTAATAGTGAATTCAGTTTTCTTCATGTGCTTAGACGAAAAAGAAAAAATTTTAACAATAGGCAATTATTTGCACTTAAAGAATTGTACAAATTAAGATTTGAAGTTGCTAGAAGAGATGATGAAAGTGAAAATCATGTTTTGTCTAATTCAATATTAATACATATTGCAGAAAAATTACCAATCAGTGATGAGGAAATTCTAAATTACAATGAAAACTTTTTAAGTGAAAACATTACAGAAATAAAAAAAATTAATGAACAAGCAAGAAAGCTACCACATGCACCTTGTTTGGAAGATATTAAAAATGTACATAATAAAGACTGTATAGATAAAATTCTTTAGCACTTAAGTGTTTTTATAAAATATTTGTTCGTAATATTGTATTAAATATGTAAATATGAAAAGAAAATTGTAAATGTGATAGAATAATTCTTGAGTCTATAGTAAAAATTTTACTTTAGTGTTATGTACAATTGTATTAAATAAAAAACTGTTACAGTGATCATTTTCAACATTTGAAATATTCACTTCCATTAGAAATTTTAATTAACAAACATAGAATGTAAAATCGCTGCAAGTCATTCGTAAAACTATAAAATTTTATAAAATTTACTTATTGAAATAGCACTTAGTTTCCTCGTATTAAAAAATGTGTACATCAAGGTGCAATTTCTATGAAATTATTTGGTATATGCAAGTTACCAAAATGCTCGTCATGCGTGATTTTTAAAAATAAAATAAAAATTTTTAATTACAATCTTCAATCTTTTTTTCTACCTTTTGAAGCGATCTTTGTTCTGATTGAACAAAAAATAACAATTTTGTGAAAACAGATTTTTATTTTAAAATGACTATACAACAATATCAATACTGATCTTATTATAATATACATTTTTTATATACAATCACATATGTAACATTTTTTATATGTATCTAAAATACAATTTTATAAAAACTCACTTTAAAGCAAATAATATTTTTTTAAATTACTTAATCATTATTTTGATTAGTTTTTAATTCCTTAATTTCTTGGCTATTGGCTTCATTTTCATTAGTGGCTACAATATTAACTATTTCAGCAGAAGCATCTTGTTTTTGTGTTTGTAATGTAGTGGAGCTCAACATAACAGATATTTGTTCTGGCAATGGACAAGCTATCAGCATAAGTTCTTCACCAGAGTAATACTGACTGAGTAATTGGCCTAACTGTGCGAAAGCTCCGACTATGTTATTACGAATGGGTCGGAAAAGAATACTCTCTGTTTCTCGGTTCGCCAAATAAAGCTGCATAGAGTTTTGAATGCTAGGTAATTTGAACTTGATTAATCGCTGCGCTTCACTTATAACAGCTGCTACTTGCTCTGCTGTTCCTAACAATTTTTGAGCTTGAGGTTGCTCTTGTTGCTGCTGTTAAAATAATGATTTGATTAAAAATAAGATAACAACGACTTTAAATTGATGGGTTGATTTATGTTTTACCTGTTGCGTATATTTACTTCTTTCTAGAAGTAAAATAACCGGTTCAATTAATAATTTCGTAATATGATCGATCAATCGCTGACAGGACAATTTTAATTTCGCATCAACATGCTTTCGTGAATCGAACAATTGTTCTCGCATTTGCGGTGCACCTTCGAGTAAAAACTCTAGCAACGCGTTATTCGATAATGTGAACAGTCTTGAGCGCTTTCCCAAAAGGCCAAAAGCAGCAGTTTTTACTTTTGAAAAGTCCAAACTATATTCTTTTACGGTAAAATCAACTTGAAATGGAGCAATCTGTTCTCGAAGAATTAACAAATGTTTTACCTAAAATTTTCAATTATATTAAGTTAAATAAATTCAATTTAAAATTATAGATTTACTGAACACTATACCTGAAATAGCTCTGCATCTAGAGGCGTTGAACGAAGCTGAATCTTTTCTCGTGCTGACTCAATACTTTGAACGCAGTATGTTATGGCTTCTTGGCTGAGAGACTGAAAAACGGGTCTATCAACACATCTGTAAAGGCGCGATAAACACACCAAAGTTCGTCGAACTGTTGGATACCACATCCCATGTAAATCGGCAGGAGAATTACCCATGTGTGAACCTCGTGGATAGAGTGGATCCATACCCTGATTAATTTAGAAATTACTATCTTAATTCAAATTCAATTAATTTAATAAATAATTGCTTACCATTGACATAACATGAGTCCTTCCAACAGGTTCAATACTACTATTTGTAGCTCCACTTTCCATGCTAGATAAAGATATTTTTTTCATGCGCACCTGCCTTTCCTCTTCTCTTATACTTTCTGCAATATCTTCCATCATTTTCAATTTTTCAGGATAAGCCAAATCACCAGGAGATGGATTGTAACCAGTTACATCACTTTGAAGATATAGATGGGCTCTGAATACTAATCTCTCTTGAGCATCTTGTAGTAATTGAAGACACACATTACCAAACCCTTGCAAAGGTTCAGTATTATTTTGCACATGTTCATCTAACATTTCTATACGCAATATACAACATATTTCAGCAAGAGTTTCTAAATGATTAATGTGAATTATAAAAGGACGTATCATATCATACAAAGATGTGCAAAGACTTTCTGAAAAAGCCAGAAGTGCTGGTGATGGTTTAGAAAAAAATTGATAAAATAATCTATATTCATCAATAGAAGCATGTAAAAGTAATGAACAAGAGTGTCTGACTAAACTGCAGTGATCGCCATTATATTTTGTTTTAACATTTTGAAGACCTTTTTGTACACTAGGTCCTAAAACCAATCCTCTATGATTTAAAAAATGTTGATGACATTCAAACAATAAACTTTCATATTCCTGTCTCTTTTCAGATTTGGCTTCAATTTGTTCTATTATAGGTTTAGCTTTGGGTAATATAGCTTGAAATCTTCCATAAAATAGAGCTAATGCAGCATCTGGATTTTTTTGTATAACGTCACCATCGTTAGGATGCATTATACTTTCAGTTGCTTTTGTAAATAATCTGAAGATATAATGGTGAATTAAAGTTATTGCTTTTGATTGGCAATGCCTGTACTTGATAATGTAAGGACTGCTTTCTTTAAAACTTGGATGTTCTATCATAAAATCAATATTTTCATCTATTTTGTTTATAATTTCAAAAAATATATCGCTGTTTACTGAAAGAGTTGGGGCATCTAGTTTGTCCATAATTTGATCAACTTCTTTAAAATGCTGTACATTTTTAGCTATTTGTTCTACAAATGATATAAGATTTCGCTGATCAGATATAAGCTGTTCACTAGCTTCATGCAAAGAAGTCGTTTTTGTAGAAACAAGATTATATTGCTTTGTTAACGAGTTAAAGTCTTCAAGGACACTTTCAATTTGTTGACAGAGTTCATCACACTCATTTTGTCGAGACTTTAGTTGATTAAGATAAGAAATATATTTTGTATCTTCAGCAAAAGTATGTTTTTGTTCAAGTCGAGAATAGCACAGTAGAAGCTCTTGACAAGTTTCAATATGACTTATAGAATCTTCATCGTTTGTTTTATTATCCTATGAACAATTAATTAATTGAATTTTGTAATATAAATTAAAATAGATAATAAAATTCAAATAACAACCTCCACTGAATCAGATTTAGCAGATAACTTTTTCAAATTGACTGGGTCCAAAGATGCTACTTCATCTTCTAAGGCAGATAACTTAGACTTTTGTTGTTTAGTTAATGGAGCTAATGGATCATTCATCAAATCCCATTTGACTAGATTATCTGTCACGCTCACAGCACCTGACATATTGAATGATTTCATGTAAAATGTTTACTGCCCAAGATTACTCAAATGTATTAACTTGAACTATCTGGAAAATTAACAACACACATTAGTTTTTTATAAAAATTTACATGTCAGAGATAAGAAAATGAAAATTTAGCATGTATAGAATAATAATCAAGCATTGTACGTGATTTGAAAAAAGAAAAAAACAATAGTTATTCACAAGTAACATAAGCAGTAAAAAAATTGTTCACAGCCTGAAATATTGTAAAACATTTCTCACCATTTTTATTTAAACTTGCTCACAAATTTATGAATAATGTCAACGAGATACGAAATATTTACGGTAATAGATGCGAAAATTTTAAGGAATAAAAATTATAAAATATCATAATTAAAACAATAATAAAATTAATCTGGTTTTATCCGGCCATATTTTTGCCACGAACACTACAGCCATATGAATTGCAACAACTATGATAAGAGGCCTCTGTAGTCTGTATACAGTGCAAATGTAGCAGCCGCCGCAAAAAGGTTATAGGTACGCCTGCCGATTGCTCAGTGTGTGATGTTGGTGGAATAGCCCGAATAGCTTACTCCCTATGTCGTGTCTGCAAATGCAAACTATAGTCGCTCATTAGCGAACAATGTTGTGGAACTTCTGTCGCGCATTTCGAGTTGCACCCCAACTTTTATCACTTCCAGCGATAAGTGGCCCCTGCTGTGATTACTGATTAAAAGAAATTAAAACTATTTCATCTCCTTACGAGAAGCGTAAAGTAAACTTTGACTTACAATGATGTTAATGTTGTAGTGGACGAAAAGCTTAATACGTTTGATAACTGATACTATTTAATTTAGTTCGAAAATAAGTTCTGTGAAGGTTAAGTGGATTAAAAAAGTATAAGACTTTTGTCGCAGTCTCGGTTTCATTACATTTACGTGAAAATCATGAAATACAGTTTATTTTTGTGACAATGAAGCGTAGCCGTCATCGTAGACAAGTACTCGATGTTAATGGCGAGTCTGATTCTCCACATAGACGTAGGCTACAAGAACGTGAGTAAATATTATCTATTATGAATGCATCCTACTTTCTTACTCATTATCATAGATTCATTTTTTACTGGATTGATGATAGGTTATACACATAATGGTTCGCCCAGCAATTCGTTAACGGGTTTTGTTGGACAGTACAATTCAACTGGCGAAAGTGAAAACGATAAACCTACAGATCAACTGAACGACCAAGTTAACGATTTTCTTAAGGAAATACAACAAATAACTCCTAACGAATCTAATACAGAAGCTTCAAAAAAAACCATGGCTCATCCTGGATCGTGTAAGTATTTAGTTTTTCATTGCAAAATTAGAAAAAGGTTTTCTTCAAATGTTATGCCTGCTTTTGACAGATTGGCAAGAATGTGTAGATGAACAAACAGGATATCCATATTACTGGCATACAGAAACTAATCAAGTCACATGGGAAATACCCATTGAACTGAAAATGTTTAAAGAAAACAGTCAAGGAGGTAATATAACTCCTTCGACTCCCCACATTCCTCAATGGTCCAAAATGAGTAAATGTATGGTTTTATTTAATTTCACTATTATATGATAAAAATAACTCTTTTTTAACTATAAATGCACTTAGTTTCAGATTCTCAAAACAATATTCCCGATGGTATGATTCCAAAAGAAGTGGTTGCAAGAAATCGCAATCGTCAAGCTGGTATTATCAACAAACCAGAAAAACCTTTACACAAATCGGATAGTACTAAGACCCGTAAAAGAAACGAGAGTTCAGATGACGAGTATGCCTAATTTAAATATTTTTAGTATTCTAGCCATATTAGATTCATTCAAATTCACGGGTTTTTTATTATTTTAGAAAAATTGAGATGATTACTTCGTTTGGTAATGAAGATAGTGAATCTGAAGAAGAGGATGACAAACAGGAAATCTCTAATAAACCTATTATTCCTGCTCCACAAAGTATTTTAAAAAAGCCAAATCGAGCTCCTAAATTAGTAAAGTCAATAGAATCTACAACAGTAGAAGGTCCAATGTTACCTCCTGTACACTATGGTCCTCAAAATCAAGAAAAATTAAGCGAAAAATTAATACAAGTATGTATAAAGCAGAAATGTGTTTTATAAAAATTTATTTTAAAACATAACAATAATTACTATAATGAATTTTATTTTCTTTTAGAAAACTCAAAAAAATAATGATACCTCAGATGATGATGAAGTTGATATTTTACAAAAATTAAAAAGCCATGCTAAATTAATGCAATCACGGGAAAACCAGCATTCATTAACTCGTGAAAAATTTCAAAATTCCAGTAAAAATATAAGACCTTCTCTTGTTGGTTATGAAGATGATTCAGAACCAGAAGAAGACTTGCCTAAAAAACCAAATAAACCTCTGTTTCCTATCGCTGAAAAAAATGTAGAAACTAGTGAGAAGCCAGCCAAACAATTAGAAACTGGCTCTTTAAAAATTTATGACTACAGAAATAAAGACAATAGCATTACTGATAAAAGTGACGGTAAACTAAATGATGCCCTTGAAAATGAAAAATCAGATGAGCACAGAGAAGAATCAGACAGTAAAACAAATAAATTTTTGGAAAGCATTGATATGCCCAGTAAAGGTTTTAAGAGAAAACGTCGCATTGCTTTTGATGGTAATGTATCTTATACCTTAATCATAAATTCCAGTATCAAATTACTTTTTTCTCGAAAATTATAAGTTTTATGTTCAACAGTTGCGCCAGTTAAAGTCAAAACACCGGAGCCTGTTCAAACCGAATCGAGTAATAGCGATGAACAAACTGAGCAATGTAACCTTATAGAAGAAAGTAATAACGATGAAATAAATGAGACTTCAAAAAAACCTGACAAAGAAGCTTTGAAAAAAAGTCTGACGATAAATTTTGTTAAAAGTTCTTCTCCATCATCATCATCATCAAGTACAGAAGAAAATATTAATCCGACAGCTGGTAGTAGTGCGGTGTCTACTAATGAAAAATCTGTTGAATCTACTCCTGAAACTGACGCAGATGCTACTGCTGTCACAGCTACTGAAACCAATAGTGTTATAGCTAAAACGACCACTACTTCTACTGCTGCAAGAACAGAAGAGGAAAAATCAGAAGTTTTAACTCTTACTGAACCTGTACTAGAGAAGCTTAAATTCTTGTCTGAAGGTAGTCCTGCTGCTTCACCTGTCCAAATTATGGCCATACAGTTACAAGTAAGAAATAAATTGCTTATATAATGTCAAATTTACTGTGTTGATATTATATACATTATTTATTATTTGTTTTGCAGACTCTGATAAGTGCATGGGAGAGCAGTGACCTGCAAAGTTCCTATTTGAAAAAGTGGCTGCAATCAACTAGTTGCGAATTGACGAGACTTGAGCAAACGGCTGCTCCGCCTGGCTGGGAGTGTCAGTGGGATAGGTACAGTATCCTGCAGATATCTACTCATAAATCACACTTGTCTTTGGACTTTCATAATGTAATGGAAAAAAGCGTGAGACAAGGAATCGTGTGTTACATTTCCAACTACATTTGGAGTCTATAACATATGCGAGTTGCTTTAATTTGACACTCGAAATTTGCAATTCGGCATGAATATTTATGAAAATCGATCAAATCGTTTTCCTTCGGTTTTCGCTAGAAATTGATCATTTTTCTTTCAATTACTCCGAGAATGGCTGTGATATATTCCACTGTGATATTAAATATAATATATATATTTTTTCAGTTAAAAACCAAAAAGTTTAAGTGAGATTTAATGCATAAGTAAATATTTTTTATTGATTTGTCAAATAATTTTGTTTATAGCTGAGCTTGTTACGTTTTTGTTGTTAAATTATAACTGTTAAATTAGAATTCAAGGAAAGTGAACATATGACTCTTTATGTTAAACGAGTGAAGATTTAAAGAGAATCAGTGATTACTTTTCAGCTATACAATACAACATGACTTGGATGTAATTTAAAAAGAAGTTGTGGTTTTGATAATCTTTTGATTAGAAAAAATGCGGAATTTATAAGGTGTTTATTTAGCCGTAGATGTAGTTGATTTTTCCCTCTTCATCGCGTAGAAAACGTATTTTAACTGAATACTCATAAATCATTGTTATACAAAATCTGTGTAGTTAAATTAATGAAAGTGTTTTTTATTCATATCAACAAAATCGTTGGCAAATGACATATATATCATTGGCTAAAATTTTTGAAGAAGTTCGTATCAAATACTTTTTCAAGAACTCGTTTAAAAACGAAAACCATTAACTTAATTTTCATACGTTAAAACTTAAATACTGATTGTCAATTTTATCCATGTGTTTTGACAGTTAAAATCTTCTTTTTTTAACAAAAATAAATGCGATCTTATTCATAATCAAATTGATTTTTTATGCAGTTTTTCATTAACTCAATTAAAATACTTACAGTCTTATACTATCACACATATCAAATATCATACGATTGTTTGATCAACTTTATTGATATATATATAAATAATATAAATATATTATTAATTGAACCAGAGAAAATCAGTTATGTTGTTACATCAAAATCCATGTACTTGAATTATTCTTAAATTTGACTAATTATTAACCATACCGTGCCACAATGATAAAACAAAAACGTTCCGCTGCAGCCGATAAATATAACAAAAGGATAAAACAATGATTTTATCATCCACGTGATGCTGAAATATCCGGAGACCGAATATAGTCAATCGCTGTTACTACTTCTTCCACTTGTTCTCCCTGATACCTGCGATGCGAGTTGGATAGACATTGCTAAAAAATAAATAAATCGAACAAAACCCAGAGTTTAACTTTTACAGGAGGAATCTATGGAAGATTTATGTGTCAAAGCAGGTAGGAGGGTACGATGTAAAGGCTCGTTTCCATACCGGAATTGCCTGCCTTAGTACCAATAAATAAACTGCTTATTCTTTATTTTTAAATAATATTAATAACAATGACGATGATAATACTTGCTATTTTGTTACACAACGGTTTAACGAATTGAAAATTGTTATTTTTTTCTCTAAATTTTAAATTAAAAAAAAGTGAGAGAGATTAAAGTTAAGTAGATAATTTAAATGAAAATACTGTGCATCCTGTGCTCTCATTGTGCTTTTGTATCTTTTTGTTTGTTTGGCGGACTGCGTATGATGTGTCGTTGCATGTGTACACACGCATATACGCGCGCTTTCGTACAGGTTGCACAAGCGCTACTATTACCGAAACGCGACGACCGGTGAAGCCCAATGGACTTATCCGCAAACCGACGTTGTCGGCGGTACCGAGGAGATGGATTTATGTACAACGCCACCGCCACCCGAGCAGGAGGAAACAGCCATTATCGGTGAGTTGAATTTCATCTTTTTTACAATATTATATATCCATCGTTCGTGACAGATCGTTAACTTTTTTACTTATCAATCACGCAGAAATGAATGTAGCCACTTCTAAAGATGCAAGTGAAAGCTCAACGCCGCCTTTATCGGAGAATCAACCAGAGCAGACACCGCCGCCGCCAGCCCTGCAATCAACAGCGGCACCAGTAGCTGCACCGGTGGAGGACGATCAGCCCCCGACATCGGTACCGCCCCCGCCGATCATCTCGAGCCCGAGTCCGCCGCCGCCACCGAAAATCTACGCGGAGGACTTGAAACGCAGCGAGAGTCGCAAGCGCAAGGGCAGCCCCTACGAGGAGCCGAGCGAGATCCTCGCGAAAGTACCGACCACCGGCGGCCCGGTGGCGGCGGTCCACGAGCCGCTGCCCTCGCCCGCTTACGAGCCGCCAACGCCGGATCTGGCTGCCGCCGCTGCTGCCCATTACGCTCTCGATCCGACTAGTGCTGTTCTCTACGGCACGGCTGCAGCCCATCATCAGCAGCCCCATCCGATTTACGCCGCTACTTTAGCCGGAGCCGCAGCGGCTGCAGCTGCTGGTCTGCCTCTGCTGCAGCATCCCCACGCACATCATCATGCGCATCATCACCCCCATCCCCATCCGGCACTGGTACAAGGTCAATTGATGCACTACAATCCGGCTTATCATCAGCATTTGCATAATGTATGGAAACATTATTTTACCACATCGTTCAATAGACTCAAGCCATATAATTTCGAATATTTTTTCTTTTTAGCAAGCATTGGTAGCAGCTCGTATAAGCAATCAAGAGGCAGCTGTACAATTCATGGTTGCTGAATATGCCAGGGTGTACGAGAACAACCAAGTGATCGCCAAACCACCGGTCAAGGTAACGGCTCAAGAAGCCAGTCTTGGCTCGGCACTCAATTCCTTCTACAGTGATATTGCGTCAATTGAGAAAGCCGAGGTTGATCTTCATCAACCACTGCAGCATCAACAGCATATGGTCGCTGAATCAACGACACCTCCGGTATTAGTGCAAATGCCGATGCCAGGTATTACTGAAAATCCAGTAGATTCAGAGGCTTTGAAGGAAAAGAAGAAGAAGAAGGTAAATAAACGTTTATATTTTTACTTTTTTCAAAAAAAAGCTTACTTTTAACAATTAATAAATGATGAATAATGATTTGCCAAATATTTTTTAGACAAAAACTGGACTGAGCAAGAAACAAAAGGAAATGTCTAGTATGGTGGCTAAGTGGCAAAGAGCTCAGAAAAATTACAAAGATTGTGATTAACCCAAATTTTAATTTATCTTAAAATGAACTTTAATTATGCAAACATGTATAGTATAAGTTTTTTAAGATTCAATGAAAATTAGAAAACCGCCCGTTTTATTTGTAAATAATATTGTAAGAAAGTAGTTTAATTAATTTATTTTAAATCTAATAACACATGAGTGATGATTATTATCAAACGCTCTCTCTGTACAGTTTATCATATAATATTGATTATATACTGTTGAATAAATAATGAAAATAAATTTATGTACAAAAAAAGGTCTTTGATTACTGAATTGCAAGCTTAAAACTTCACTTGCTTTTATATTGCTATAATGAAATGTTTCTCAAGATAAGACACTGCTTGTTAAAAAAAAATCAAGGTTGCCCATAAAATGTGTAGACAAGTAAATTTTTGTATTAGGACTTGAAAGGGAATTATTAATTTATGGTTGAGTGTGCTTCTTTATTTGAAGTATTCAGTTAGAAATTTGAAATATGACTCATTCAGGATTGTTTTAAATTATTTTTTATTGCCGTTAAAAAAATTAAGCAACAAGTGCGCTAGCAGTGGAGCTCTCGTACTTCCAGTTTGGAGGAAGAGATCCTTTTGTCTTATAATACCGAGCCAATCGGTGAATTCTAGATTCAACCAGAATTAATCGGAACTTGGAATCCTTATCCTTGCGATTCCTTTCCAGATGCTTGCGGATGGCAACTGCTTTTTTAATTAAATAGTAAAGGTCTTCTGGAAGATCAGGAGCAAGACCCATGCTCTTGACAATACGCAGGATTTTATTACCAGTGCGGAAACGCACTTGTGCAACGCCATGGCTGTCCCTCAATATGACACCTTTTAAAAAATATGATTATTAGTATTGAGATATATAATAACAGGTACGGTAATTTTCTAAATTAATTTGAAATACAAAGATAAAAAAATTAAATAAAGTCATGAAAAGTACTAACCAATTTGAGATGGCGTATGTCCTTTCTTGGCGAGCTTGTAGATCAGCTCTTTGGTGTCTTCGACAGAGAGTTTCAGCCAATTTGGCACACTCCTCCTGTATGGCAAAGCTGACTGGGATATACCCTTACTGGAAACAAAAAAATTGTTTGTTAATGGTGGTAGTGATGAAGAATTATCCAATAACAGAACAATTTAATTTTAAAGATCTTTAGTAGAAGCCTTATCACTAGTGTAATTGAGAATTAACTTTTTTTGGTTGTCAATGAAAAAAAAAGATAACATAATGAATAAGGACATCATTATTGTGAGGTATTTATTAATAGAAATGTTTGAATACTTTTGAGAATTTTGGGATATGAATACTCATACGAAACACATGGCTTCTTCATGAACCTGTTGACTACAACTACATAGTTTATTTTTTTACATAATTTAACAAGTAAAAAATTATCAAACAAAAGAAAGAACACGATAATTGTGAAAACTGTCTTTTCTTACCCAGGTGCATGCATACGACCCATCTTTTATGATTTCCGACTAAAATTTCACTCACGATGGTGTGTTGCTCTTGGCAGTGTTGGCATAGAAAAGAGGTTAGAAGGAATTAAGAGAGATTTTTAATTCTTCCACCAGGTGCAGCTTCCGCTGTAGTTACAAGTTTAACCATGCGCCACTACACGCATTACATTCAAATATCGGATTCAGAATTCAGATAACTAAACATTTTGATAAACATGAGAGATTTAAGATTATTCATTGATATTGTTCGTTACATTTTATAGTTAAAGCACTTAAATTAATTTTTAACTGTATTTGAAGAGGCTCAAAAAGCATTAAATTAGCTATAAATCTCAGAAAATTATTTTGTAAATAAAAAATATGTTCAGAATATTTTTTTATAAATTGAAACAAAGATGAATGTTGAATGAATTCTAGAAAACGCACGGCATTCGAGTTGTTTGACTTACTGAAAATAAATTTAAAAAATGATTTCAAAAAAATCAAACATTTTGTTTAAGGAGGATGATTTAATAAAACGAACTGGTGGCTATACTTTTAGATAGATACTGCTCGTTGGACCTGAATCTCATATAAAAGTCTAGTTTTATGATAAACCGCATACGCGCATAGAACAAGAAGCTGTGGGTTGTGTTGTGATACCTAGTACCAAACTACCAAGACACTATCTGGCAACATTGTGCATCGAAGTTCTATTGCAACGTTGCATTAATATTGCTGGTACAATATATAATACGACTTTCAACACAGACAGTCTTTAGCCAAGGCAAGTGCCTTCATGTCTGACAGCTTATGTGAGCTTTATGCTTATAACTTATAAGTATACCTATAGCTAAGTACAGTCCGTGCTGAGTTTGTGTGCTTGGAGGCGCTCGAAGCGATGTGTGTTTTCTTGGCTTCGCGGCATGCGCAGTTGCGACGCGTCTCGGTTCGCTCGGCTTTAACTGTAATACTCGCATAAATACGCTACGCTTTATATCTATATTTTCTATAAATATAGTATAGCCTATAGCATACGTGTATACTGTACGCCAGTGACCAGTCCCCAACTATTGCCAATACTATAGCCGAGACTATATAGCCCGAGTACCGAGCGCATACACAGACACTGCGTGTATAGTGTAGGACATATTCAAGATGTCGGCAGCTCATGCCTCGACCTCGCGGCTTCTCCAATAAATGTTTCTTACATATGATATCTTAATTGTTGATGCTTCCTCTTTTTCTTTTTAATGTTGTGATTTAATCGAGTGCGCTTTTGTAGCTTTACAATTTTTTACTTTCTCAAGTCCTATTCGTTTAATTGTGTTTGTTTTTATTCGATATAATCTATCGCGAGTTTTTCGGTTATTAGTGTACAGTGTAAAGGACGTTACAGTCCAACGCATCTAGTAGTTGTGGCCCAAGGGTGATTCGAGCTAGGATCACAACGTCCACGTCAACCGGCGAAGGTAAAAGAAATTTTCGTCTTTGAAGCATTTACTCTTCCACGTATATAGTAATATCTACACATACATAACGGATAGACCCTTGTATGCATTTACATGTATACATGCAATTCACGGGGGAAAGTTGTGTGTGAATAGGTAGACTCAGATGGTTTTCGGGTAGTTTCACCACGAAGAATGGGTGAACTCACATCTAATAATGCAACCTTATGGACTTGAAGACGAGTGACTGAGCGATAGCATATAATATTGCTTGCGATGAGCGAAACCTGTAAAATTATTTTTTTGAAATGTCATAAGTACTCAGTACTGTCCAAAATTTTACTTGAAACGCGATTGACAAGTTAAAAACAGTAAAAAAATTTTTAGTTTGAGAGTAGTTTTAAATTAATAAAAAACCTTACATTATTATTATACTCTCATTCTAGTCCCTTTTTCGTTGCTTAATGTATAAATAATATTCAATGAAATAACAACTTTATATTCAACTTTCACTTTAAAAATCTTCGAAGTTGTTTTGATCTTAAGATAAATAAAGACAAATTCAATTGAAAGGTTACCTAAATTTATTTACTGGGAATTTGAATATAAATCAATTCAACTGCAATTTATTAATATATAATAATAAAAAATAAGTTAATTTGAAATTTATAAAAGTATATATATTAAACATAATTTATGAATAATTTTGTTAATTATAAACTTTTTATTTTCAGTTTTTGATTGTTAATCATGTACTAGAAAATTTTATTGATAATATCAAGATGTCGAGTGATGAAGATCCAATTCCCAAACGCACAAAGAAGAAAAAGCTTTTAGTTGTATCTGAGAGCGAGGATAGTGAAGATGAAATTGTTGTACCTGGAAGAAAAAGAAAAGTAACAGTACTCGACAGTGACAATGATTCTTCTGAGGACAGCGATGTACCAAGAAGAGCAGTTGTAAGAAAAAAAAATCATGTAAGTCGCCTATAAACTTAAACTATGAAACCTTTTAACTCCTGGTAATCAATGATTCTATATTTTAGAAAATAAAGAGTGAAGATGAGTCTGATAATGATGATCATAATATAAATTTTGGTATGTATTCCTTATTTTTTTTTAATTAAAAAATTTATTGATGTAATCATTTTCAATTTTTTAGATGGGGGAAGTACAAGCTCTGAATGGCAAACAGACTGGACCAGTGAGAATGAATCAGACACAGAAGTGAATTCTCCTAGCAAAAAATCACTTAAAATAAATTCTTCTGGTGCTGAATCAAGCGATGGAGAATCTGAAAAATGTCCAATTTGCCTACTGAGTTTTCGTGATAAACCAGTTGCTAATCCAGTTACTTGTGACCACAATTTCTGTGAAAATTGCATTACAGAATGGAGTAAAAATATAAATACTTGCCCCGTTGATCGCAAAACCTTTGATGCCATAAGTATTAGACGTAACATTGGTGGGAAGGTCAGTTATTAAAATTATTTTTAAAGCTGATTTCAATGATAATTATTTTTTTTATATCTATAAAAATTAATCTTAATTTATTGAACTACTTTTAGATTCTACGTACAGTTGCTATTTCACAACCACAACAGGATGGGCAACTTCAGGATAGGGAAACTTTGGAAGATTTAACTTATTGTGAAATTTGCCATTCACCTGATTGTGAAAACTTATTGTTGCTTTGTGATGCTTGCAACAGTGGTTACCATACTTATTGTCTTAACCCACCATTGGAAGATATACCTGCAGTAGACCCCTGGTTTTGTCCACCTTGTGATCAAAGAATTCAACTTGATCAAAGAGTAAGCAAGATTTGAATTTTTTTAAATTTACTCATGGTCTATTATTTCTGCTTGATCTCTTATTATAAATTACAACGAGTTTTGAACCCTCAAAAAGGAGATAATTTTTTCATTACAATTTTTATTTTTTATTTACAGATGATAGAAGAAATCCGTAACTGGGCACGACGTCCCACTAGAATAAACCGATTAGATGAAGTGATTGAAGACATGAGATTAGCTAGAACCCCAACGCATCGACGTGTACGTGACACTGTTGATCGTATTAGAGCTGCAGCAAATTCAGCTAGTTTAGTACAACAGCCATCAACATCCTCACATAGCGATGCTAATACATCTGATAATCTCGCTGGTCCCTCTACAAGTGGTAGACGTAATACCAGCGCCACTGCTCGTACTTCTCGTCGAACACGTAGAAATGGTCGATCAAGAAACGAGACCACCAATATGGAAATGAGAGAAGTCAGAATTCCCGAATATGACGAGAACGGGGAATTAACTGAAAGAGTTACATATGTAAGAGCTAATAATGCATCAACTTCAAGGGTCACCAGAAAAAAGAGGCGTAAGGTACGAAGAGTCACCAACGCATAGTATTTATTATTAACATTAACCGTGATTAAATTTTTAGAAATTTTGTTTGAAATAAGATTGACTGTGCCAATGTTTTGTTCATATAAATCGTTTAAAATTTTTTTTTTAAATTGAAAAATTTCTGAGTATAGATCTGTGTAATCGTTTTCATTGATTAATATGTGTGCTAATTGTATTTTATTAGAATAATGTAATTTTTCATACCCCGAATACGAGTTTACATCACAAAAAACTCGTAATAAAATTATTTTCGGGTTTTAGTTTTGTAGTTAAAATTTTTTGTTTAATTTTTTTCAATTATGTAATATTCTGATATTGTTTTAATAAATAACTTGAAAGATTCATTTAGCTTTTTCACTTGATTATAAAATATTGAGGAGCATGTCTTATCACTCCATCTGGCAACATGTACATGGTAGAAACATTACACCTAGAAACAATTGTTGAATCTTTAAAATTATGTTCTTAAATGGTTAATTAAAATTTATTATTATATTTTTAAATGCTTAATTTAAAATGGTTGTACTAAATTGCTTCATTAGCATTTATATATTTGATTTATTTGATTGAATCTATTTTTAAAATCTTACAAGTTCTCTTAATGCACTCATACTATGACTTTTTATAATTCAATTTAATGTTATATCAATTAAAAAAATTTTTTGTATCAGGTGAAATCAAGACGCAATGTAAGAGTTTCAACATCAAAAACTATTCGCTCTTTAAAAAGACTTATGAAACCTGTAAAAAGATGCACTCAATCAATGAAAAATCACCCTCCAGGTCTAACATCTAATTCTAATATCAACATATCAAGACATTTGGCTGGTATTGGACAAGTTAGCATATTTGGAAGTGGACTTGGACTTGATTACAGTCCACCAGGGTGAGTTGATTATTTCAATTTTTATTGTTTTGACCAATCAGCTTCTATTGTATTTTGTTTTTGACGTAAATCTTTTTGTAATTAAGAATTATATATCTGAACGTAAAATATTAAGATTCAAATATAATTGTAAGTTAATGTTTTACAAAACTGTTCTGAACATCATATTTATAAAAGCTACTTTGACACGGGTCTAGATATAATCATTTCATTAAAATCGGATCTTTCTAAAAATTAATTATCATCTATTAAAATTTTTCAATAAAGTCTAAACCAATCTATAAAAATTTTTTTTAATTTAACTAAATTTACAACTCAACAAATTAAAGTAGCTTTTCTTTTTTTTTTATTTAATATACTTTTTTATTAAAAACAAACTTAATGGTAAAAGTGTAATTTCTTTCATTTTGATTTGCATGTTTTGTCTAAAAAATCTTCAAAATAACTTTTATATTTTCAAACTCAAGTTACATATGAGTGTATATAAAATTGCAGAAACTTGCTTTAGTAAAAACTTGAATTAGATGTATGTATTAATTGTTAATTGAGAAAAATACTCTCATAAAGATTATATTTAAGAATTTGAAAGGAAATACTGACATGCTATTTTCAATAGTATTAATATTTTAATTGGAAAATCTGTATGGATGTAATAATGTATGAATGAGATCTAAGATGATGCACACAATACACATTGTTCTCAAATTATCAAGACGTATATTAATCAATTTATTAAATAATTTTCATTTATAATTTAGAATTTATTGATATTTGGTAGTAAGATGTTTTTAAAATTTTATTAATAACTTAAAATATTTTACATAAAAAAAGCGCCTCATTCGATTAAATTACTTTGGTTCTTTTGATTTTAAATCTATAAGATAAAAGTAATTATTTTGAATGATTTTAATGAAAAAAAATGTTATTTTACCAACATATTTTAAAATATCTTACAATCACATGAATTCATGTGTACCAAAATCTATAAATGCGTATAAATGGTTTGACATTAAAAAATTTTTAGATGTTCAAAATTAAAATTTAATTTTTTCAAAATTTTCAAAATTTGAAACAATACAATTACAGTTATAAATATTTTATCAGTATAGGTACTATACAAAAAATTTTCAAATTTCAAACCACATCATGAACCAATATCAGATGTATTAGATAATGCAACATAACAATTGTCTTGAATATCTTTACAATTCCTTGTATAGGTCGGACATTGATGATGGATTCGATATTGACACGTCTGGGGGTGTTCTTGGAGTGATGTCACGCGTTCGAAGACCTGCCGTTGGAAGGAGAGCAAACCTTAAAGCTCTAATAGATCGGCCTGTATTGAACCATCAAGAAGAACCAAGCAATTTCCTTGATAGTATTCTTATGGGTCAGGAAATCTGGCATTCCAAGAATACCAAAGCTACCATAAAAGTCGATGGTTCTCTAATTATCGATAAACCCAAAAAGTCTGAACCAAATAATAACGAAAGTCCAGTGAAGATCGATAAGCCACTCAACGAAACTCCGGTAAACAATGATAGACGTCTAGATGTAACAAATGCTAATCCAGAAAATCTGACGAGAAGCGCTCCTATGTACAATAACCCACGTAGTGGTAACCGTGGTAGTGGTAATTATCGTGGCGGAGGAAATCAAGGCGGTGGTGGCAGTTATCGTGGAGGTGGTGGTGAAGGAGGTGGGTACAGCGGCGGTGGCAGCGGCGGTGGAGGTGATGGTTCCTACGGAGGTAGTGGAGGTAGACATAGTTATGGTCCACCAGGCAATATGCCACAAGATTACTCAATGGGTGGCGGAAATTATATGCCTGGAAATGACCATCGTAACCAACCTCCACCCGCCCACATGAATTCACCCTTCAATAAGCGCAATCGAAATCCAGCAAATTATCACGATTCACCCAATCGATTTCCTCCTCGATATCATCCAGATCAACATAGTCCCATGGGTCTTCCACAAAATCGAGACTTTGCCTTTTCTGGTAGATCCATTCCGGATTTTCCTCGCTCACCGCAATCTTTGCTACATCCTATGCCTCCACCGTTGATGCAAAATAGAGACGGAGGCAGGCAAAATAGAGGCGATGGCATGCACAGTAGAGACAATAGAATGTCTACTAGAGATAATGAAATTCGAAGAGATAGTGGTCGGGGTGAACTATATCCCAGAGATAGTATTGTAAATAACATGTACGATAATCGTAATTTTAATACTCGAAAAAATGATGACACAAATGTAGTCGAATCAACGTCAAATCAATCGGCTGAATCGCAGCAGCCCGATGAAAATGAACGTGTTCAAGGTGGTGAAAATGTTGTAATCGATGATGCACCGAAAACGTCTAATCAAACGAGTACTTCTGTTACTACCGATAAGTACGACCCATTTGCTGACGACAGCGATAGTGACGACGAACAGCGTTCTAAACAATCAAACGAAAAACCTAAATCGTCAAAACCAGTCGTGCCTTTGAGGCCTCCCCCTGGTCTCCGAGGCTTCCCTGGCTTGAAAAATGACGATACCGAATCTTTATTGGGAGATGATGCATCTACCATGGGCGATAATACGTCGGCCGCAGATGAAAATGTAGGCGATCAAATTTCCACTATCGGTGATGATGGTACAAACGAAGGACAATCATCTCAGCCATTAGAACCTCCACCATCGTTCAGTTCTTTTAGTAATTTTGATTTGGAATCTGATCAGAAATCAGAAAGCGCCAGCAACGAGCAAAATCAAAAATCTAAAGAAAAAAAGGAAAAAACTTCCAATCAAAAGCTTCGTTTAACTGCTTACGATTCTGATGAAGAGTCTGAATCAGACCAATCTGATTGCCCTAATTTTTCTATTTATTCATCAGAAACAATGAATGTGGCTAGATCTAGTGAGCAAGAGATGTCATCTCAAATTGATCCATTAAAATCACCGTCTGCGTCTCCAAGTAAGGGCTCTAAGCCTTTAGAACCACCACCTATGCCACCATTTGAAGATGAATTACGCGCTGATCGCGAAGATGGTGTTACTCCACTAGAACCACCTCCTATGCCTTCAGGAATGTTGGAAGACGATTTACAGAGCAAAGCTGGAAGCCCAAATGCTGTAGAACCTTTAGAGCCTCCTCCAATTCCCATGGATGATTTGGATGAAACCGCTCCATTACAACCACCACCAATGCCTCCTATGGATTTCGAAGATGATTTAGGGCGATCTACGCCATTGACTGCTATGAAGCCTCTTGAACCACCACCAAGTCCTCCAGATTTAGGCAGAGCAACGCCTGCTTCAATTATGCATCCTTTGGAGCCACCACCAAGCCCACCAGATTTGGATAGAATTACTTCAACATCGGTTGGTCAACCTCTGGAACCACCACCAAGTCCACCAGATCTTGCAACTTCTGTGATTCAGCCGCTAGAACCACCACCAAGTCCGCCTGATTTAGGTAGAATGACTCCAGGTCTTATTATTAAACCTTTGGAACCACCACCTATGCCACCAATGGATTTTGGACGTTTAACTCCGGCCCCAGATGTTACTACTTCAATGTCTTCTATACCTCATATGACTGATTCAAATTTTGAAATGACAAGTAAAGTATCTATGCCTTTAGAACCTCCTCCTATACCACCAGAATTAGATATAGATATAAGTATGTCTGAGGAAGAGTCCAGTGGTGTGGAAGAGGAAGATGATTCAGAAACTCCTGTATTTGGTCCTAAAAATCGTTCTAAAAAACGAACAGCTTATAAGATTGAGGGCAAAAATACTACTGGAGAAGATGAAACAACAATTGAAACTTCTGAATACCTTGATGCAGTTCAAAAAGAAAGACAAGCATTGAGTAAAACTTCTGGAAAGATCCAATTGGACAGCCGAGGTAAAATCACGTTCAAGATAGGAAACTTGAGTCGTTTGAACAAAGTAAATCTTTACGACGAGGTTGACGAATCTGAAATTAAAAGTTTGCCGCTGGATTTGGAAAAAGAAAAAGAAAAGGACAAAGAGAAAGGAGAAGAGGCAGAAAAACAGAAAGAAAAGGCTAAAAGTAAAGAAAAAGAAAGAGAAAAAGATAATGACAAAGAAAAAGAATCAAAAAGAAAAGATCGAGACTTAGAAAAGAATAAACGTGAATCGAGAAGTAAACACGTAGAAAAAGAGTCAAGATCTAGAAGTAAACACGACGATAAAAAAAGGAAAAGTTCAAAGTCAAGGAGTAAATCCAAATCTTCGCGCAAACGTTCACGATCAACAGCATCTGGTTGGGATATACGACCTGATTTCGCAGAGTCAGGTTCCGAAGACCGTACTCGAAGCCCGGCTGAGCTACGTTCCAAATCCAAATCTAAATCTCGATCTCGATCTCGGTCTCGCTCGGTTTCAATAACTCGTTCTTTATCAAGATCAAAATCAAAATCGAGGTCTCGATCAAGATCTAGATCTACATCGAAATCTAGGTCTAGATCAGAATCTGAATCCTCCTCAAGATCTCGATCAAAATCATCGAGTTCTGTACAGGAGATCAATGATCAAAGTCCTCTGAGACCAAAGCAAATTCCGATTGATTTAGATGAGCTTCAGCAAACTCTGGACAAAAAGCTTATCGAACTCGATGACATGAATAGTAAAAATGCCGAACACAATAAAAATCAAGATGATATGGTACGCGGTACTTCTCAAGGCATGGAAGCTGCAGCAGCTTTGCTGGATGAAATTGAAAATTCGTTCGACGCTGATCTCATTAGAGAAATTACGTCTCCGAAAGGTGCCGCAGGTTCGGATGAAGACAAGATGTCGTTAGCTACCGAAGATGAAGAAGAAGCACGAAAAATGGCCGAGGAATTGGGCGAACTCGAAGCAGCAGAAAAGGCCAAAAAGTTAAAGGAGCAAAAAAAAACAGATAAAGATAAAAGCAGCGATGACGACGACGACGACGACGATGAGTCTGTGGAAGCCGTCGCTGAGGTCGATCGCAGAGAGGAAGTCATCGATCTCGAAAGCGCAGAATTCGATGATAAAGCTGTCGAATACGACGGTGATCTCGAGGAAGATGGTTTTCAGATGGAAACTGCTCCTAGTCTAACACCGGCGGTCACTCCAGCTCGAAGGCAAGAAACTCTGGAAGAAGAAGGTATAGATCGCGATCAGGACGAGCCGACGTCCGAGTGGGAAGCTGACGGAGCCATTACTCCGTGCAAAGACGAGTTGACCACTAAAGAATTGCGTCTGCGCGAAGCAGCGGCTCTCTTGGCTGACAGCGGACTCGAGCCAATTACTCCTGCACGCGACAGATTGGACGATGGCTTGGCCGGCATAAGAACACCAGCCGACTATGCCGGCCTAGGCACCGAAGCTATTTCAGAGACCGACGAAGCAATGAATTTCGAGGATGAGCTGGCTCTCCTCAATATGCGTTCTCGCGGCGGAGCTTCTACCGTTGATAAAGATGTTGAAGAAGGTGAAATAGCCGAGGAAAATAGACGGCCGCAATCGCAAGGCCTCAAAATCAAAGATATAGTAGTCGCTGAAGACGAGAGCACGAAGCGCAAGCGAAAGAAGGACAAGAAAGAAAAGGAAAAGGTCGTCAAAGATTCGGAGCGCAACAAAGAGAACATAGCAGCTCTGGAAAATCTCACCGCATGGAAAAAGTTGGCGTCAAAAGAACGCTCGTATCGCGAGAAGCGATCGAAATCGCGAGATTCTAAAAGCGCTAAAAAGAAAAAGGAAGAGACGAAAAAGAAAAAGGAAAAGCGCAAAGAGCTACCTCGATACGACGTTAGAAAGCTAGTTGCGGAAAAACCACGTTCGCGCAAAGACGCGTACGGTCGCGATCTACGGGACAGCTCGCGCAGTAGATCGCTTAGTCTGTCCCGCGAAAGGTCTGCAGCGCACGTGCGCCGAAGCCGCTCGCTTTCGCCTCGCGGGCGAGGACGCAGCAGATCGAGATCCTGGTCGAGAGGCAGGCGTTCGCGCAGTCATTCTCCGCCGGCTCGACGACGTTCTTTGTCACCGAGAGGCCGACGCATCGATCGAGTTCGAAGGCGGTCTCTATCGAAAGACCGAGGAAGATCGCGATCTCGTAGTCGCAGACGATCGGTATCCCCAGCGACGCGATCTCGCAAACATCAAGTCGCGACGAAGAAACGTCGCTCGCGAAGTCGCTCAAGAAGCCCCAAGAGTCCTCGTTCGAGGAGTCGCTCGACTTCTCGAGGCAGATCGCGCAGAAAGGACAAGAAGAAGGCGGTACGAGAGGCTCGATCGAGGTCACGCCAGGTTAGGAAGCGATCGCGAAGCAAGAGCGTAAAGAGACGTGATAAAAAACACACCAAGAGAGCCAAGTCGAGGTCGGTCGAGCGACAGCACAGCTGGGAACGACAGCAATTGGCTATAGCTGAAGCTACTGCACGTGCCGACCCCAACTGGGCCGGAGCTCATTGGTCGCCGTCTTGGTCGCGCTCGCGTTCCAAGACGCCTCCTTTGTCTTTGCGTCCTGATAACATAGCTCGCAACTGGTCACCGCCGATGAGTGGCCTCATGCAAACTACAGCTCCGAAAAACTTGAAGGTCATATTGACAAACAAGGAGGTTTTGAAAAAGAAGAAAAAAGAGAAACGCAAAGAAGCTCGTAAATTAAAGGAACTCGAAAAAAAGAAGAAGGGTGTCGGGACAGTTGCCACGCTCGGAAAGCGGGCACGCAGTCCGGCTCCGCAAAAAGAAGTATTCGCAAGCGGTGATAACATACTCGTAAGTGTGTGTTTCAATAAAGAGAACGAAGCCCAGTCATCTATTTCTGAGCCAGAATTGCCCGAAACGATACCGCTTTTACCTCCAGTGAAGCGGCGCCGTAGAGAACCGTTGCAGTTGGAACCACCTACTTTGCAAATGCCCCAGCCTGCTAAAAAATTGAAAAAAGATAAAGTAACGAAAGAAGCGAGCCGAGCCAAATCGCCACTGCCAGCTTCAAAGTCGGGACAACAGCTAACGGCAATTACAAAGCCACCTAAGAAGAAGGATAAAAAGAAATCGAAAGCAGCGGAAATAGCTGCCACGAAGAAGCCCACCGCTATTATCGATCTCGATCAGTCACCGTTCCGAGAACAGACTCCTTCTCCCAAAGACATCATAGTCCTAAGCGACGATGAAGATAAACAGCAGCAGCAAATCGACGATGAAGAAATGGGTACACCAGAACTGCAACAGGAATCTTTGACGCCAGCTCGGCCAGAGCCGACTTTCCAGCAAGGCCCTAAAACACCACCCGAGCCACAGCAATCGCAATCCATCAAATTTTCAATTACTAATAAGCAGACTAATCTTCGTCCGTCTCTGATAAATCCTCTCATGGAAGAAGATGATGAGGAGGAAGAAGAGGAGGAAGAAGAAAGGGCAGAAGTAAACCGTGGCGTTGGAATGACTGCTGAGATGCAAGAACTGATGGATGAACAAGCTGAAGAAGAGCTTGAACTACGAGCACAAGAGGAGCTTGAGTCTCGTGTCAAAGTCGGTCCTAACACACCGCCAGAGCCGCCGGAATCTCCAGACGTTTACGATCCGTTTGATCCTACCAAGTCGCGATCTCCGACTCCGGAAACGAATGAACAAGGAGATCACCGTCACGGAACGGACGAGAAAGCTACGGCTAGCTCGCCCAACGAAGCTCATATTGACCTGGACACATCGGCCGAGATTCAGGAGGAAGACAAGAAGACAGAACCAGTTGCCAAACCAGCCTCCGATAAACCAAAAATAATATCCATGGTCACTATTAAGAGGCCCTCGCCGAAATCTAACACGCCACCTCTTAATGATCATCATATGGAAAATGCCGGCAAGAAGGTCGATAGTCCTCCTGTTAATAATCAAGATAAGACTAGTAGCACTGCAACCAGTACGGCAACGGTCATCAATCAGTATCATTCCATCAATCCTGTGCTAGCTACGGTAGCCGCTGCTGTGCAGAGAAGCGGCGTCTTCAATTCAGTCTCATCTGTCGTAGGACCAAGAAATCTCTTGCATGTAAGTGTTTTTCTACTTTTTCTTCAAATTAACGTTGAAATTTTTTCAATCATTTAATAATTATTTTGAAAAAAAGTTATATTTTTAATTGTGCTGAACTCGTAAAATACTCATTCGTGATATAATTTTTATTCAATCTTATTACAGCCATTACCTAGACCACCGACTCTGCCAAATATTTTCCCGCATTCGCTACCGAAACCTCCAGCTCCGTTGCGCACATTACCGAGCAAACTCTTGCCTAAAAATATCTCCATGCTGGGGCAAAACGGAAGCGATGCAATGATCGACGTCAGTGCAGTTGAAAGTGGAGCTACTGCTGGTGCCGCAGGTGGGATCGATTTGTCGTCACCGTACTCACCTGGATCCAGCCTCAGCGATGGTTTATTCGATCCACCCAGTCCAGGGTTCAATAATAATTCGCCAAATGCTCCTGTGTCGAATAAGACTAAAAAGGGTAAAGACAAGTCGGATCCTTTTGACGCATTATTCGATGCTTCGCCAATTGTTCTTCCTAAATCATCGAAGAGCCGATCGAAAAGGCAGACGGAAAAAGATAAAAAGAAGAAAGGTAATGAGAGATTTACAGAAACTTGAATTATCCAATTAAAATAAAAATTTATATTACTGAGTAAATTTTATGTTTTAAAGGAACTCATTCAAAAATTGGTGTTCGAATGGACGAAAATCAACTGCAAATTTTGGATGATTTACCAAGTTCCGCTGTAGAGATGCAAGTGAAAGATAAAGTAAGTATTTTCGAAGAAAATAATAATTTTTATTATATCGTGCGTACTAATATTTCATGTCCTTTTTGTAGTTTTTGAAAAAACTTAATCGCCAAGAAAGAGTTGTCGAGGAAGTCAAACTCGTTTTGAAACCGCACTACACGAAGAAACACGTCACAAAAGAAGAATACAAGGACATCATGAGAAAAGCTGTTCCAAAGGTCATATATTGTTTTGTTTTATAAATAACGCTTCAAAAATATTATTGGAATACTAGATATTAAATAATCATTTATTTAAATCATTACAGATATGCCACAATAAAACGGGAGAAATAAATCCTAAGAAAATAGCAGCACTTATTGAGGCTTACGTCAAGAAGGCACGAGCCAAGAAGAAATTGGGTTCATCTGCACCAAGCTCCAGTAACACGGCTAAAAAACCAACGTAAGTTGACAAATCAATAATTATTTTTATCATAGATAACTAAATCGACAAATTTTAATTGGTATACCATAGCTCCTCGTAGAGTACAAAATTGAATAAAATATCAAAATGTTTATGAATATACAGGAAAAACTTATGGAGCTGATCACAAGATGAAGAAAAATTGATTCACCAGGATATCGTCTAGTATTTTTATGCAACAAAAAACTTGGGTCAATTTTAAGAAAGCTACAACGTTTTATGCTACGTCATTCATAAACTGGACAAAAATGCGTGCTTCGGTAGGTTCTAATTTTAAAAAAGTACAGAAAATATGGTAATCAAAGTCTTCGATAGACGTGTGAACAATGTGTATTGTATGTGTATATAAGAAAAATGCAAAAATGCATTTTTTCGAAAATTTACTAAAATTATAGCGCAATAATTTTTAACCTCAGATTATATATACTTATAAATATAACTTTAAAATTAAATTAAAAGTCTTGGGCTTAGTTTTTGGTGAACGACTATAATAGTTTACAAGTAAGTGATGTAAGAATGTATGAAACTAGCGTGAATTATAAGTAATAAGGACTTGAAATGATTTAGTTTTGTTAAATTTATTCACACATTTGATTAGTATTTTGTTTAACATGTAAGAATATACATAAGGACTTGAGAATACTTTGAAAATGATACTGTTGATGAGGTTTGATAGGAATGATGATTAAAAATTTTAGTATTGAATTTAAAAAATGAACATAATTGTATACAAGCTAAAAAATAAAGCAAACTGCATAGATTTTTTACACTTAAAACAATGTTTGCAGTTTAAACATTGAATTAAAAGTGAATATAATGGCCAGGACCATAATTCATCGAGTAAATATAAATAATATAATTATACTTAAATAATGTCAAAGCGCACGTATTCCAAAACGAAAATGAGCTCGAAATAGCAGAAATACTTGTCTTGTAGCATAATTGAATGATGTATATAAATTTCATAATTCGAGCATTCAAAAAGTTGACTATATATTTTTAACAATTCCAACCATTTTTCGTTTTTCATATTTTCTAATTGTAGTTTCTTAATATTGTATGTAACAAGGATGAATATTGTATAGTCAAGGTATGTAAAACCATTTATTATCGTAAAAGATAGTTTTATAAATAATGGTCACGAATTGTTTTGTTTTTATACTTAATAGTCAGACAATTGAATGAACGACTTGAAGGCGTTTATGCTGTGTAAAATTTAAATTTCTTGAAATAAATACAAATCTCGAATAACATTTTACGTTTAACTTTTATTTAATTTTCCCCCTTCAAAATTGTTAGTTATTATCAAAATTTACTATCAAAGGTACAATATAAATAACACACTAGAGATTTATTTTTGAAAAAAAAACATTTTTATTTATACATTAAACATTACAAAAATCACAGTTTTAATGAGGAAAATAATCTTCCAAGTTTAATCAAGTAACTTTTTTATGAAATGAAACTTTGTTCTTGACTCGTTGAAATATAAGGCCACTATTGTATGATGTGTTAGTAGATTTTCAAAATCGGTATACATCATTGATGAAGTTTATTTGGCAAAAGCAAATCCAATGCGATCATTGACCATATCAAATTCAGTGTAGAATTTACCAATAAAGACATCTCCAAGAATCCACAGAGGACCATTGGGTTTAGGGATATCAATACCCATAAAACCACTCAGACAGATAGTCTTTCCAAATTGTGAAACCTGATACAAAATGAAAATAATGTACTTTCTCAGTTAATTTTTTTACTATCATATTAAAGAAATTTTATATGACTATAAAATAATCATATAATTATGAAATAATTAAATAGTACAATTTTTACCTTCAAAACATAATCTTCTCCTTTCAACGAAAAATCTTTGCCAGCAAATTTAAAATCGATGACAGGCAAGTGGGGTATGGCATCACAACTCACCTGAAATTAAATTCAAATAATAAATACACATTAAAAATAGTTTTGTTCACAATTTTCTTTTAAATTAATATAAATATTTAATGTACCATAGCTTCTCCAGCCATAATTGGTGTGGCTCCTATTTTCTTATTGATTCCTTCAATTTCTGCTACTGGACCCGCTATGAGTGAAGTTCCAGTGTCAGCGATGGCTTCACATCCATTTTCACAGAATACTTGATCGCCAACTTTAATTCTAAAAATAAATAACTCTTTAGTAAATTTAGTTTGTAAGTTTTACAAGCATACTTATTCAACTTATGAACTCACTGGTCCATTTTGAATTGCCAATAAGCTTTACGAGTAACAGGAACATATGTAAATTCTCCTTCATAATGATCGGGATCTGAACCACCCAAAATCATTTCCCCACCTATCTTTGCAGTTGGGTCTCTATAAAATTCATTTGTTTGATTATTATTTAAATCATAATTGAATACTTTGAAGAATACTTTTCAATCAATATCGATAAAAAATATATCTTATTAGTTCGAACCTAGATAAGTAGAAACTGAAAACAGCTTGAGGGACCAATCCTTGCTCTACCATACGATCAAATACTGGTGTCACTCCATCAACTGCAATCCTGCTATAAGCCATTCCTAATATACCATCAAATTTAGCTGCTACAAAAGCTAATCCTGGTTCACTCATTGCTTCAGCAAATGTTACGTCAGGCACTTTAACACCTGCAATCTGAAAAGTTAAAAATATTATTTGATTTATATCACAAATATAGTTTTTATAACTGTAAAATGAATGAAAACTTACCCCAACAGCATCAGTTGATAAAAATCCAGAAAGACTTCCTGAACCATATCTAATGGCAAATTCAGTGCCATTGGCTTTGTATGAGCTAGATTTCTGACTATTATACTTGTTGTGAAGAACTGAAATAAATTTATATAAAAATTGCAATGAATTGAAAAATTATTTACATTATAACTTATTAGACTTACGGCAAGCAATATTGGTCAAGTGACATTTTTTAGATGGCACCCAAAGATTAGAAGAACCAGTATCAAAAACCACAGTAAATTTTTGAGGAGGTGTACCAATGGTTATTTCCCCATAATATTGAGCATCTAGGTAATTAGAAAGAGGTTCTGGAATTGGATCAGATCCATAACGAAGTCTTACTTGTTGAAGCTCAGTTCCAACTTCTTGAAGCTTTCTTCTAGCACTTTGTGCTCTGTACAATGGAATCCTGTAATTAAGTTGTTCAAGTACATCAATCAAAACAATATAATTATTACTCTTACTTTTCACAAGAATTTTATTGTAGTTTATAATAACATGATGTTCTTAGTAACAGTGAGTAATGTAGAAAAGCAATACATCATATGTAATAATGCAAAAAAAAAGATAACAGTTCTGTGTTGGTCAGTCTGATATCGTAATGTTTGGAAGTTGAATCAAAGCTTTTTAAACTCCATTATCAAAAGACAAGTTTCATTATCATGTTATGAGATATTCAGTGACTCACAGAATATGTATAGTGCAAAAACATTTATAGTTGCGAAACTATTCAATTATAATTAAATTATTAAGAGAATGTTTATTTAATAATTAATTGAAATGTTAACATCAATTTTTTTATTGAAAAACTGAATAAACAAATAAATAAAAATGGCAATCTTTGAAGCTTAAACATAAGTCTTCTTAGGATAAGTGTAAAAAGACCAATTTTTTATTTTTAAAAAGATGGAATAAGAAAAAAAATTCAGGAGAAAATAATGGTAATACGACTTTAAATGAAATAAGCTATGACGTTGCGTATTTGAAGCGTATAAAAGCGTTGGCACATAGAGCGTGAGCTCTTTTAACGAAGTGTACACACAAAGGAAATCCGATATTTACCTCAATAATTCGGCATTAATCAAGCCAAGGCAAAAAGTCGTCCAGAAAAATAGACGAAACATCGTGCAAGACGAACAATAAATTTTTAATAATTAAAACAACACGAGCAGATCATCAACGGCTGGATGATCAGCGAACAATGACGCTTGTACGTAAAATTAAATAGCCCTATATACTCGCTTTCTTCGCAGTCAGCGCGGCCTATGTGTACGTCGCTCGAGAGTCAAGAAGCGGCCGATTTGTTTATGCGCTGCACAGTGTTTCGGAGTCTGCGCATTATGATCACATGTCACACAAATATAAGCTAGAAATGAGGATTGAGATCAGACCTCTTGCTTGAAAAATATCTGCATTCTTTCATCAGCCAACGGATACTATAAAAGTAAGGCGCGTTGTTTTTGAAAATGTAAGTCTTCATTTTATTTAAAAAGTATTAAAAAAAGTATCATTATCGTGACGTATTAAAATAGACATGAACAAGTGTAGGTAAAAGGATAGATAATTTTTTCTTCTTCAGAAAATAGTTTTAGCCACATAGACAGCGTGCTCGTTCATATTAAATTCAGTATAAAACTCCATCATGAAAGCACCACCCAATTCCCAGTAGTCAGCTGTGGGATCTTCGTTCTCAATAAATGGACTGAAGCAGGCTTCGATGCTTTCGACGACAACCTGTTGATTAGAACCATTAAATATTCAACTAATAATCATAGGAATAAAAAAAATGGCACATGAATCGAGTCTTGACTTACGCGTTGCACGTAGTACTTTGACTGTATTTCAAAGTTCTGTCCGTTCATCACGAAAGTCACCGAAGGCAATTTGGCATATTCTCGGCAATTCACCTTGAAAAACAAAAAAATAATCGAAAATTGATTTTCTGTTATTTTTTATATGATATTATTATGTTCAACGAAGCTTACCGAATATCTATCTAGTCCACTTATGTAGACGGCTTGAAGCATGTAGTTGAGCTTTTTTATCAGTTCAGAAGGCCCAACAATTGTGTTGGCCGCCGAGTCAAACACGGCATATGTCTCGCCCGTTATCGGATACTCCTTCTTGCTTTTCGTCGCGAATATCCTGTTGACTCATCGCGATTATTATTACGGCATTTAATTACAAGCGCTTACAACAACTGCATTAAGAGAGTCAATCGTGTACTTTTTTTTAACGTCTACGCTTACCCTCCGACTTTGACTTTCCACAATTTGTGCGGCTCGACGACCTCGAGCTTTGTTAGGGTGTCCGGGACGATTTTCGTACGGGCCGTGGCGCCGAAAAGTACCTTGCCGGCTCTGTCGGTCGTCGCGTCTCTGTTCATGTAAAACGTGAACACGTAGTCCTCGATCAAGTTCTGTGCCATTAAATTGTAAAAGAAAGGAGTGACTCCGGGCCAGCCGGACTGTTCCTTGTAGGCCAGACCTACGATACCGTCGGACTTGTATTTTACGAACGGATTGAGCGATATGTGGGTGGCCTCGAGGAACGTCTGATTGACGATCTCAATATTTTGTAACTGAAAAACGAGCGACAATTGTGCAGAGTTCTTTTTTAACGGAAATTATTTCATAGAGCAATGTATTCACGTGAAAGTTGTCGGTTGACAATATACCACCCAACGATAGCGCCGAAGAGTTCAGATTGATAATCGTGCCGTTTTCTACGTGCGTCGATGACTTCGAGCCGTCGTATCGGTTGTGCAGCTCTGTCGAGACGAAAACAAGACGATGTATTTAGTCACTGCGACAAGAAAATTAATAGCTCGTACTCACGGCAAACGATTTCGGTCCATGCACAATGGGATGAGGGTAACCATACGTCGCTCCAAGTAGTGTCGAACATCACGCGAAATTGTTGCGCCGGTGAGCCGACTTTTATCAAGCCATAGTATTCGCCCTGATCAATCATTATTTTTAGACGTTATATCGATTGAACGAAAAATAAAATGGATATTTACATTCATGAATTTATATATATCTGCGGAATCGTTTTTCCACGGATAATTTCCCTCCAGTCCCGTCAAAGCACTGCGGATGTAACGCCCATGATGCTTGCCGATGGTCGACGATACGTCAGTTTTGAAAATATCCAATCTACGGTCGTGGAAAATCTTTTTGTCACAGCGATTCTCAATGCAATTTAACATAAAAATGAATATAATTGTAAACTCACTCGAGTTTTCCCTCCACTTCTAATATAAGAATAACTAATAGAGCACAAGTATATGTTATTAATTTCATTTTGATAAAGAGAAGAGTCTCGTCGTTACAACTCGATGCCTGAACAATTACTGATGCCGAGCGTCTACACTCGGCCCGCCTTTCTGTATACGTCTCGCATTCTTGTTCGTTGCAGTTTGGGATTCCCTCGATATATTAAGCAATGGTGGACCTATTCGACTTCCTTCTTTTTTACAACATAACAGCTCAATAATGAACTGCAATTTTTAAAATTTACACATTCAGAATGCGTTATCAGACATTACACCTGTTATGGTGGTGGTTTCGTGTGCGTAATTTTGCATTCATTGAGCGAAATTAACTAAGCAAATCATTTTTTGTTATTTCACTACTGAGCCTTACCTATTTTTATTGAAACATTTTATAAGCGTTATTGTATTAGTTGGAAAAACAATGTAGAAAGGTTTCGAATTTTCTAATAAAAAAATGTCATTGCAATGCAATGCAAGATGCAACATTGGAAGTTAATTTTATGACTCTAAAAACAATTTTAATCTATCATTAAAAATAACATCAAGTTTTTATTTTTTCACCTACCGTGTATAATGAATTTATCAAATAACAGCTAACGATGTAAGTTGAAGGTATTTTCCAGGTTCAAGTATGGATATTACATTTTTAAAGAAATAATAAGCTTTATGATAGAATTGTTTTGTTTTACAGTCGTTTATTATTTTTAAATCATTCGTATATATTTTTTAAATCGTCGCTACACATGTCTTTTTGTTTAGCGCTGAACAAGAGATTTTTTTATTCTGACATCGTACGCATGATATTATAAATGTTTTTATTCTACATTCCATAGATGAATGCCCAGGTCGTACTGCAGAGAGAATCCACCTTACTTTCGCAGTGACACATGATATAAAAAATACAGATCATTATCGTACAATCATTTTCGTTTTTAATGTAAATTATTTTATTAACCAGATTTACAAAACGGATGGAATGTATAAAGAAAAAGAAAATCTCTTACTTTGCTGACATGTTGAGCGACGATTGTACGTCACTTATTTACGAGGACGTAAAGGAGGATCATCAAGTCAAAGATTTACCAAAAAACTTAAGGTTTTACGTAGGAAAATGACAACAATACTTTTCAAAATTTATCCGACAGCAATTTTTAACTACATCGCTTAAGCGAACAATTCTTAAGAGTCCATTACAAACGTTTATTGAATGCGCAATTAAAGTAAGTAGTCTAGGATTCAAAGAAAAATAAAAAATCATTGTTATTACAAAAGTTTTTAAATTATATTTTGCTGTTTAAATTTTAATGGATAATTTTTTTATTTGATGACATCTACGTACGCTTGAAGCGTCCGGCAAGAATGTAACTTAGCGACGAAGAAGTTAAAATTTCTTTCGACAGATGTACAATCGATGTTCTAGACGATAAGTTTGTGAACAATAAGAATATAAGTTTTCTTGTTTAAATAAGCACTATAGACGCACCATTCGTCTTTCAAATGTACACTACTAACTTATCCCTTATACAAGTAACGATCTTAATTTTTAATATTATGCATGCTCTATATTTCTAATACAGTATTATTATACCAAAAAATATAAGAACCATATTGAAGTACAATCTTACGATGAAAAATCTTATCGTTCTCGCGCCAAATCACGGAGAAAAAATTACTACACATAATCCGGGCGCGTGCGAGCGCGCTGCATCATATTTGTCTTGATCGTATCTTGGTTATTTTTTCGTACACATATTACACTTATTACATATACATATATTTAAATATAACGTAATCCATTCGTTCCAAAACTTAGTCTCGCGGGATGATTTGTATTTTGCAATTTTTGTCATAAATAAAGAATGAGGTTCAAATTTTTTTTGTATGATTAATGGATTAAATGGTGTGTGTATGCGATAATTCTTAATTAGGTCTCTATGTTGAATGGATGTTTGAAATTTGTAGCTTTTTGTTATGAAGGTATGCATCCACGCGCGCTCGTCCACCATCTAGCCTGAGATTATGCGTCGCCATTGGTCTCAGCTTCGACCGCTGCGACTACAGGCGCGTCGTCGAGCTTAGCTTTCTTGGGCGATGTGACTTCCTTGGCATCACCGTCGACAGCGTCACCCATCGATTTCCTCTTTATACAACAGGTGTCGTTGTTTGCGTCTGTAAATGATGACATGATTGTTAAATGAAATTATGCTCCGAAAAAATTTTCGAGTTATGTTGAAGGATGGATAAAATGTATACCTGTGGAATCACCATTAGTCGATTCAAGTTCTTTCTCATCGACGTCTTTCTCTTCGCTAGAACCGTTTTCTTTGGCCTCTTTGCCGTTTCCATTTTCGGAAGCCTCCTTGGAGTCTTCGTCAACTTCTTCGACTACCTTAGCTGGAGCCTCTTTCACCGGTGACTCCTTAACTGGAACTTCTTTCTCGTCATCGAGAACCTTCTTTTCGGGCGAGCTCACAACTTTGGTTTCCCTAGAAAATGGAATTTCATTATAAGTACATTGTTTTCATGGTACAAGGTTTTCACTATTTTATTAGGCGTAAGGAGGCAAATCAATTGAAAATTTAAGAAACAAATATTTTCGAGCAGAGGTCGGGAATGTTGTCGTCGAGGATCAACAGTAAAAACATAACAAGAAGATTCGAGTCCCGAGTTATTGAGTCATATTCCTAGGATTATTCTCAAATTTATAATATATATTTTACAAAATGAAAGTTTTACATTGCTGGATACATAGGAATAGAAATTTGAAAAATTATACAACGCTTCAACGAGAAAATATATAATCATCAATTGCCTTATTTGCATTCAAGTTTCATTAATATCTTACGGTTTACCATCTTTATGAAAGACTTTTGCGTTGGTAGGAGATAAAAAAGCGTCTCGTCAGTCAAGTATTAAAGTAACTAAAGCTTTCTTTATATTGTCAAACGCAATCCGATACGTTCTTTTTATGAAGCATGCAAAAACACGAACATGTGTGCGTCAGAAATTGATCAAATTATCGTCGGCTTCGCAATGTGAGGCAACGAGGGTACTTAAAGCCAAGCCACAATAATTTCAAGTAATCGAGAGAATTTACGGTAAAGTTGAATAACGCGAGGGTACGTATTAACACTATCGCGCGTGTTAAGACGTGATCTGTACAAGTAAATATGAATATCGAGACACATCGATTCCGCTATCGAGAAAGACAAGCACAGGTGTTAACTCGATGGATTTAAATAAATAACGAGAAAGCCGCAAAAACGCTCGTGTATCAGCGAACATCGTTGGCGAAATGTTGTTCGCTAGAGTCATTTATCAGAAAAAAAGATGAAATATTATTTGAAGAGCACTAAGGCTTTTACCCATGTACATCAAGGAGATGATCGAGGTATTTGGACTGTTTGCTTAGCAAACACTTCAAATTGAGTTCTAGGAAATTTCGAGTTGTAGTATAACAGCGAATCTTAGCATCGCGTAAATGAAGTTTTTGAAAGAAAAACGGACGCAATATAGAAAGTGTTTTTTGTAATTTCAATAATCCTCGTCACGCTCTCATACAGGCATACAATTTCATTGTAAATATCGATTGAAAAACCAATTACTCGAGTCCGAGAGAGGATGCCGGCATGGGAAACGCGCGAAAGATAAAAGCGACGCCATGAGTAACGCCGCATGGCGGCGCTACAACCATTTCGCTGTGTACAATGAATACAAGCGCACACTCACGCTCCAAGGACCGTCACACGCTCGTGGACGCATATGTGTGTGTAGTCCATACATACTCGCGTTCTATCTCTCTCTCTCTTTCTTTCTCCCTTCGAGTTTTATAAAATAATAATAATCATTAACGTGAAGCTCGTAGTACCAGCTCACCGCACGCTTCTCTCTCTCTTTCTCGGTTTGGCGCGCGCGTCTTTATTCCCCTCGCATCGAGGATGCGTGTGCGGCGCGCGCTCCCATTTCTGCTGTCCTACCGGCTACGACGACGCTATTTTGCCAAGCCTTACGATCGCCGCATTCACATACAAATTGCTAAGTACTCGCAAAACCGATTTCCGTGATGAAGAAAACTGGCTTCACACGTGGTGCATCGCCAAAAGCACGCACAATGCATGTCTCGTAATTTCGATCGAAAAATTATAAATCCGAGAAAATGCGACACGCGAGCCTTAAGCGCAACGTCGCGCGTCCGTGTAAAATAATGCCTACAATGACTTTCTGCGCGAAACATTTTTTCTATTCTAGCGTTCTCGCTTCGCCGAGCGAGCGAGTGCGCGCACGTTTAGAAGCGAAGTTTGTGTAACAAGTTCGGGGTATGTGCAGCGTTACACACACGCTCACACGAGCAAGAACGATCCAACTACATACACACACACACACCGACAAATACGTACAGGCTCACGTTCACAGAAGCAGAGCGCAGCGTATACTTGGGTGAATATAGGAAAGATACCGGAGAGAAAGGGGGAGGCAGGCGGCAGGCAGAGTTAGTTGGCGCTCGCGGAGAAGCGAGAATACACGGCGCGATCGATAAAATTCGCCGGTAGTATGTGCCGCATATATACACGGCGACCCTCGGTACACGCCAATATTATGATGCTCGTGTGTTTATACGCGCTCGCACGCTTAAATCCGGCATCTACTTGGATCGATTAGCTTTGTTCGAGCCGCTGCAGAGCGCGAAGCAATGAAATTCACGTACATGATATTTGTCACCGTACGCGAGGGAATCGTAAAACAATTGCGACGCGCGTACTCTGAGCGAGAGAAAGAGAGACAATACACGTACACACGTGTTTGCTCTACGCTGCGAGTGTCGTTATCGAGCTTCAACCGAGCTGATCACTAACACGGTAATAATGAAAAAAACAAACGAAAAGCAACGAGTTGGCAAAACAAAGAAAAGATACAGCCGCGCGATACACGGAAAAAAAGCGCGCGCGCGAAGCGAGAGAAGCAGCGGCTTCTATGTGACCGTAAGGACAGAGGAGAGCGCGCGGGCATGGAAAAAAAAGAAAGTCGGCGTCTCTCGTGTTCTTTCCCGTTGCTCAAGGTACAATCGTCCTAAGCATGTTAAAAAAACGAATATAATACTTTACACAATTTTCATGGCATTTGGGGGGAGGGGGAGAGGAAGTCGTGCAATTAAGGTAAACTGAGATAAAATTCAACTTACTTCGTTTCTGTATCAGCCATTGTGTTGGTAAGTTGTGTTAATTACACTCGATGTGTTTTAGATTAAAACAAAATTCACCCACAACACACAAGTTGTTATAAACTGTAAGATTCGTTTGCTATAAAATGAGCACACAAAAAAAGAACAGCGAAGCGTCGAGACGTTAACTGTAACGAAGCGCCGGTTGGACTGAGAAGACGCTGCCGGCGCGGCGATCACCGAGGAGGAGAGGAGAGAGAGCAAGAGCGAGATAGAAAGGGAAAGACAGTGCGAATTGCGAGAGCGAGAGAGAGCGCGCAAAACTCTATTCGCCGGTGAATGCCTGTGAGCCAGTCTGAGCCCCCAAGTGGGGGAGTTGAAGCTGCGCGCGCGCACGCAGGTTCGCCGCCGCCGCCGTCGCCGTCCGAATTACATTTTGCGGGCTATGGTTTGCGTGGGATTTTTAAGCTCTATTCATAGTGCAACATTTTGAGCACCTTTGCATTTTATAATGCAAAAATAAATCATGGGTTTCCGAAGCAACGCAGGTCAAAGAAATTGAGCCAGCCTGCGCGTGTCATTCCGTTCAAAAACTCGTAAAAACACCCACGACTGGTAATCTTTCAGAAAACCACAGCTTTACGAGCGAATTTTACGACAAAAGCGTGAATTGAATGAGTGCAAGCCGAGCGTGGTTATCTATTCCATCTGAAAGCGAAATAGCATCGGTGCCAGTGTGGAAAGCCCCTTAAGGCCAAAGAGAAAACGGCGCAGGCAGGCACGGAGCACGACATGGATGTTCTCATGGCAGAAAAAGAGGGGAAGGATGTATAATAAAGGGAGAGAAGAGAGCGGCCGGCGTGCATGAGCGGCGCGCGCGCGCGCGACACGAACGCGGCAAAAGATGTGCGACTCGGCGCGGCTGCTGCTGCTGCTAACGCTGCTGTGTTACCTATATATCTCCTTTCGCACGCGCACACACACACACAAACACGTATATAAATACACAAGCAAAAAGGCCAGGCTGTACGTGTCTGCGATGTTCGTGTGTGCAATATCTCCGTCTCTTTCCCTTTGCTCCGTCTTTCTCGCTCTATCCGCAGCCATCCTCGTCCCGCGCGCTCGCAATTTTGAATCTGTGTGCGAGTACGTGCATACATATACGTGTACATACACGGGCTCACGTTTGTGTGGCGTTGTGTTTGCATCGTGCACAGCACAAACGTTGTATTGGGTGCTGCATAAGCACGGAGCTTCGCCACCTCCACCGGGAGTTGCTGCTGCTGCTGCACGGCCTCAACCGGCTCAGGGACGGACTGAATGCGCGCCTCTAACGTCCACACGTTCAATACCATTAATCGCGTTTCACCTTGCTGTTCTAATGACTCATTGGCTTTTTTTCCTTTTAATTTTATCGCTCATAACGAGAACAGAATTTTCCAATCGTGTACTCTTTGCTTATTCATCGCACACATTTCGAGTTTAGCATCGATTTAGTCTCGTAGCTGTTCGTTGCACGCTGTTCGAGTAAAAAAAATTGTGAAACGAGCCCGAGAAATTTCGCCTCGCTTTCGACGAAAAAATAATTCCAAGCCCCCGTGATCGTGCTCTTGGCTGTATGATGCAGCAGGCACAGACACATGGCTCTCTTGGCGCGCATCCCGTGCCTGGACTCGACTATATACCGCGTTCGCTTCTCGCGCGTAACATAACATTTGTGCTGTTCTGTAGATAAAGTGAAACTATAGAGTGTGGATTGTGTATATATGTATATATTTATACATACAAATATATATATAATAATATAAATGTATAGAGCGAGAGAAGGTAAAGCAATGAGCATTGCATGGAATAGCCTAGCTTTATGTATAGGTCTATATGTTGGAGCTGCACGACATCACCCGGTCTCTTTCTCTCTCCCTCTCTCTCGACTATTTTTCTCTTTCTCTCACCCTCGTTCTCGTATCGCGTGCACATGTACAAATCTATCTATATATAGATAATACATAGAGCATACATCTGTGCACAAACACGTACACGTACACACGCAGACACAAAACGGCTGTGGAAGCGCGCGCGCGAGCAATAAAGATAGATTTTGACGTGACGGACGGAGTCGATAATGCGAAAAAAAAAGAAACTGCTCTCGCTGCTACGTAGGTACGGTGCACCGCAGCTCCGCTCCGATGTGGATAGATCGCTTTCGAATAACAGAAGCTATATTTTCTTTGCGTGTATATATACGTTGCACAGGGACACGGAGCCCGCGAGCGCCGACTCGAGCATCGGAGAAGCGCGCCTCTCAGCGTGTGCGTGCGTGTGTGCTTTATCCTGGCATCCTGGCGAGCGCCTCATGCCCGCTCGTTCGCTCGCTCGCGACCATGATTCCTCTTAACGCTCCGGCGAGAATATTCAAATTAATTTCCAGGAACGCCACGAAATTAACGAGCGCGAGCTCGCGTAGTAGGAATTATATTCAGACCTGTAGAATAAAATCGATGAATATTTTTCATCCAAGTGCGAATGAGAAATAGAAGAGAATCCGTAAAAACTGTAGGTATGGTATTCGCAGGTATGCATAAACGCATCGTCTATAGCGTGCGTGTGTGTGTGTGTGTGTGTGTGTGTTATACCGGCCGGCGTGTGTTTGTGTGCCGGTGATAACAATCATAATTCGGCACGAGAGGCCGCGTTCTGCGGCCTGACATGAAAATGTATACCTCATATACAAATGGCTAGAATGCATATCGAATCAACGAAACCTTTTAACAGCTCCAATTATTGCCCCAGGATGTATTTTTTTTTATTCAACTTTTGTATATCCTTTTGAAACTAGTCGTTGCAGCCCATACTACATAGTCCGAATCGATATGAAAACATGTACATTATAATAATATACCAAACCTAAATGTGAGTAAACGTACATAAATATACTCTCATATAGAAGCGCAGGCTTCTGTTTCTATTTTTGAATGACTCGCGGGGATTTTCCGTTCAAGGTGAAAAATAGTTGATATTACCGAGCTTATTGTTATTTTGTTTTTTCCACCAGTAGGTATAATATGCGCGGACTTTTTGTGTGTCTGCACCGTGTGTGTGAGCATGTTGTATTACTTTTGTGCAAGATGACCTCGAAAGAAAAAAATATATAAACGGCGTGCAGTCGCGGAGCATCTCACTGTTATTCCGGCGCTCCAAAATAGACGACATTTTTCCGTAAAACGCGCGTAATGTACGCGCACGTACAACTGCTACGTGCCCTATGAATGGGATCGAGTAATCCATATGTCGTTTTATTATTTATATCGCATTGGGAAAGATAAGGCGCTTGTCAGGAAACCGAACGGACTCGTGCTAACATGTCGGAACGAGACATCGAGTGGAAAAATTGTATCGACTGACATCTATTTTTTTTTCTAGCAGTCCACAGTACGTCTATTTAGAACATCTGCGCGCATCGTTCTTATGATATTCTGCCTTTCATCCAACACCCGGCTTCTCAATACATTAAAGTACTATGTGATAGCAAATGTTAGAAAATTAAAATTTTCATTAAATGAGCTTGCCGCGATTAATACAGAGACTTGAGAATTCGGATGTTTCGAATCGACTTGCTATGCTACGAACTCAACGAAAAAGTGAAAAGAGAATGAAGCGTATTAGAGCTTTTGATCCACTATGTCAATGGAGCGAGTTTGGCTCAACAGCTGAACAAATGAATGGCGAGCCGAGCATAATATATTAACACAATAATACATCGAATGTCGGTCTGTTTTCAGAGACACAGAGCACGCAGAATTCAATTCCAACAGGTCTTGAGAAATATTCGCTTTAGCGGCATTTTCAAATCAAAGTCCGATTCGAGCAGCCAACAAGTTTCTGCCTCTAATTTAGGTTTGCCCGCGCGCCATCCTCATAACCGATTAGCGCGCAAATATGCAAGCGCGATTTGCGAAGAGAGGCCCGCACGCGCGCAGGGTAAAATTAATTTCTCGGCTCGTTGAGAGAATTTAGGAAAGTAGATCGCGAAGAAACCAATGCGATTTTACGACGACTCGAAGTTCCTTGAAATTTCGTGAAATCGTTCGTTTATTTACTCGAATCAATTGCGATAGTCGAGGAACACGTCAAATCTGTTGTCTATAGGCCATCTTACAGGAAGCACGATCGAAACTGCCTACATGTCACGCGTTGATCCGATTTTGGTTCATCCCGTCCCTTTTTACGTCGATTTTCCATGATATAATCCAAACTTATAGGTTTATCGAGCGGTGCATCGTCGAAGGCGAACAATCGTCCCTAATTGCACACAGCGTTACGTGGCGTACGTACGCCCTTAATTGTGGCGCCTCGTGCAACGCAGTCACAAGCGGTGTGCACGTCGAGCGCTGGGCGCCGCTCATTTATGTTATATATAAAATTATGCCATTACGGCGCATTTTCTCGTCGATCGCATCGCCGACCCACACTGAATTGTGTGTATATATTATTGTGTATATATCAGACAGCCAACACATAGACACAGAACGCAACGCCAAAGTCAGTCAAAGTGTCTCGGGACTGTAATTTTTTATGCATTACCAGCGCGCGTATAGATAACGATCAATTTAAAAATAGAATACGTACAATTATCCCGCTCAAGCCTTTATGTACACGTACGTATACATGCGTCGGGCGTACGAGTGTGCGTACACGAGCACTGCATATATACTTGAGCCAATTATATATAAATGTGTGGCAGCGCGTGCAGACCTTTTATCGTGGAATTACGTTACGCAATATTATCATCGGGCAATTGCATAAGATTGACGCTTGCGAGCTTCCCGGAGCCTCGCGCGCTGCAGCACTGCCTATTATGTACTCGATCGTGCGCTTAATCTTACAGATTACCCTTTGGCATCGTTTTTATTTTAAGTATTACCAGTTTCTGGTGGACTTGGATAAAGGATCGGCGTGCGCGAGAGTTAATGCAATTATAATCTCTCTCGATGTGCCCTATGCGCGGCGCAGACCGTGTGCGCATTTATAAACGGCTATGGATTTATCGACGACAGCTTTACGCACGCATATATACTTTGGAGAAAAAGGAAAATTTCGAGCGAAATGCTTATTTATAATATCTAAACTGGCTTGGGTGGTTGAGTCGAATTGCGAGGCCAATGGCAGACCACGACGACGACGACGAAGATGTGTGCTTCTTATATAGGCATAAAAGTCGTGTCA